TCAGATCCCGTCAGGAAGCAGTTTTCGCCGGGACCCTAGTCCGTCATCTTCGAGGAGATTCCAAAGAAGCAGGTCCCAGCTCCCAAGCGCCAGATTTGAACGCCGTTCTCACGGAGATGACTAAGGTAGCCAATCCAGGCCAGGACCCTTACAACTGGGACAACAGATATGCCTCCATCAAGTCCTTATGTGCTGAACTTGCTCAGTTGATTTTTCAGAAAGGTCCGCAGCAAGCCAATCAGCACTTACTTGACAAGGTTCGTGAGCTCCAGCGGGAGAATGCACGACTTAAGTCTTCCAGTGCGGCAACCATGGACGCATCGGCAAGACCATCTCCAGCCACAGAGGGACCAACCCCAACCCAAGCGCACACCCAGCACAGGCGGCGTTGGCCACTCCCAGGCCCCCCCCGCCCGACGTGGCCGCACCGCCAAAGAAGACCTCCGCGACTTTGGCGAAGACGTAGAGATCGTCCCCACCGACTTCGAAGATGAAGCACCTGTGAAATCCGGCGCCTCAGGTGCCACACGGCCTTTCTCCACCCCTTCTCCCAACCACGACGACGAGGATGACGAGACCGTCCTCGGCGGCCGGTCGGAAGCAGAAGAAGAGGACCTCCGCGACTCAGGACCCGCCCCGGCACAGGACACCGTTCAGCAATTCCAGCGTGCGGACAATCCAGCTTTCTTGAGTGAGTGCAACCCAGACAACATGAACTTTGCTACTATCAACCGCTGGATCTCTAGTCAGGTTGGCAAAGAGAACATGACCAAGGTTCAGGCAGCAGCGGATGAACTTCAAGCAGCGCTGCAGAGATTGAACCCAGGCGAAAGGCCTGCAGTAGATGCTATGACAGTTGCTTGGGGGTTGCGAGTCTCCATAGCTTCAAAGCTACCTGAGAAAGCTTTGATCAAGCTGTTGGCCACATGCCACCACCTCGCTCAAGAGTGACTAGGGCAGCATCTTGAGGCAGGGTCGCCGTGCACGCGGGACTCAGACCCTGCCCCATCGCGCAGGAACATCATTTGCTTCCTGGGAGCATTTTTCCGATGGTTTGCTTTGGTTCTTCCAGTTCTTTTTTGGCAGGTTCCACATTCACTTCTGGACAGACTCGTGTGGATACGGGCCAGGATTTTCATGCTTGCTGTCTTTTCCAGCAAAGGATTCTTCGTTACCAAATTCGTTCGAAGGTCAGACAGGATCCACCGTGTCAGAGCGTGAAAGAACCAGGCGACGCAAGTTTCGCCAACTATGTCGAGCACGGGTGGCGTATTACGAACCAGCCCTCAAAGTCTGGGCTCGACAACATGATTACTACCAAGGAATCTGCGTCGTTGTGGCAGGCGATTTGGAGGACAATTCAAGAATGGCGCTTGAAGCAGCACTCATTCGAGAATTTCGTCCGGAACTCAATCACCCACGAGTTGGTCAGCTGCTTAACAAACTTCGAATACAAGAACATCGTTTCATGTTGCCAAAATGCAACGCAGGAGCTCGCTACATTGCCAAATCTGATAGGTTAGTTCGCTACAAACATCACCGAGCTGCTGACCTAGAAGAGTCCCATGCCGTGTTTCAATCGTTATACCGACTTGGTAGCAACACGCGCTCGAAGTTTGAGGAAGCTAAACACTTATGCTCTCATCGCGTTCCTTTGGTAGCAGTGTACTTACGAGTACGCCTGCTACATTATATGGACGAACCTTGGCTATCCAGAGCCAAAGCTTTGCTGCGAGCAGCTCTCAGGTACCGACGAGGGGACCTGCCTCCAGCCAACATTTCCGTGCAGCTTTCTCCGCTTGTGCAGGACCTGCGAGGAGAATTTCGTCGCACAATTACACGCATTGTGCAATCAGAAAGATGCAATTTTCCTCCTCTACACCTTCCATCTACCAAACTGGTGTTCAGGAAAGGCCAGACCCTTTCCACGCAGGTGTTCAACTATCGGAGGTTCATGCTCACATGGAGCACGACAAGGACTGCGACTTGTGTTTGTCACCAGTTCCCTCAGGCCACGCATCAGGCCAAGGGCAACGCGGGACACATCATGTGTCATGCTAAAGATCTTTTCCCAGACTCCCCACTGGCCTCAGCGAACCTCGCCGACACCATGTACCTGAATCGAAAGACCTGGACGCAGCGAGCTAGTTGGGCACTCAAACGGTGGTGCTCGTTGGAAATTGCCTGCCAGGGTTCAGAGCTTTCTCATGAACTGGGTGCAGGAGCAATGGAACATTCATGAACAGTCCCTACCAGCTTCGCGTGTTCAAAGCTGGTCACCTCAAGCGGTGTCTCAAGCAATCAAACCCATGAGACACCTGATACGAGGTCCTGCAGACCATTTTCCCAACACAACATTTGTGACCTGTCCTTACTTTTATCACACGCTGTTGGTCAGGACCTTTGGAGACTCTGCAATCTTTCAACCGTGCCCTAACGGCACAAGCTTGGTTACCCAGCAGCTGCAACATGATTTTCAGGTCCTACGCAAGGATCTCAAGCCCTACGCGTGGGCTTTTCGATGGGAGTGGGGATTGCCCACAGCCCGCGTTCTGCCAAAACCCTCAAAGGCCTTTCTTGCAGCCAGGCCCATCATCGGCTACACGAAGTGTTGGCATGTCAAAGCCTCGAAATTTCTTGCAGTCGCCTTGTATACCCTGATGCAAATAGCCTTTCCTGCAGGCACCACCTGGAATGTTAATTCAGTCTGGACAGGTTTGCGCACAGCTTGGAAGCACATTCACGACATGAGCGTCACAGAAGAACCCTGGACTATGGTACAGCAGGACCTCATTGGGTTTTTCAATTCAGTGCCGCGTACCAGGATTTGCAGCTCTTTGCAAATGATGCTCCTACGCCTGGAACAACATGCAGGTATTCCCGTGTCAGCTCAAGCATACCAGGTCGATATGAAAGCAGGGACGCGCGGATTGCGCATGTTTCAAGGAAGACATCGATACCGACAATCCATCACGAAGACCTTGCAGTTACGTCATGTCATTCCACTCACACGGTTTTTGCTTGCCTCAGCATATTTCAAGTTCGGTCGAGACACTTTTCGGCAAGTGCAGGGAGCATGCATGGGTTCTCCACTTGCGCCAGTACTATGCTCAATAGTGGCCGCTGAACAGGAGTTCGTTTTTCGACAAAGTTTCACGTCCCAACTGCAGGATGCCGGACTGCTGCGTGGCTTCAGGTATGCAGACAACAGATGCTTCTTTCTGCGTGAGTCTGAGTGTGCTACAGCATGGGCTCGATTGGCTTTACCCTTGGAATTCTATGAGGCCCCCATTCTGTTAGAGGACGTACCAGGCGAAAAGCTCTTGGGCACCACTACATCAGTGGCGCAAGGAACCATTACCATGCTTCAGCCAGCCGATGTGACTTCGCTGCGAACCCTGAGGTCTGTTGGCCCGGAATCCGGTCCACTCAGCGGGTTCCATTCACGGATGTTGAACATTCAGCGATTCACCAGACCGCAATGCCTGATTCCTGCGCAGGTGGAGGACTTAAGTGCACATTACCTGCGGCGAAACTTTCCTTTTCGACTTTTAAGCAAGCGTCACCCATCTTTGCACAAGCTAATCAGACACATGGACAGCAGTGAAAGCCGAAAAACAAGCTCCTTGCTTCAGAACGCGACGTCACGTTCAGCAGGAATCAGCCGCCGAAATCGCTGCAACCCGTTGCATGCCAGGCTTCAGCGCCTAGTACTGCAGGCCTAACACCGTTCCGCCATGGCGCTCCAATGTTGTGCGGGCAGCATATATCCACTTTGGTCCCCTCGTAGGAGGGGTGTGTGTGTGTGTGAACCCTGATACTAAGCTAAGGGACTTGGACACGCGCCTTGGGTAAGGTTCAACTGAGATCCAGCAGCTCGCCCTCATAGGGTCGAGCGATTTCGTGCCTTGGTTGTGCCTTGGTTGCTCCTTGGGTGCCCTGACGGGCCATCGCCTCTTGGGTGCCCTCCGGGGCCAACGCACCTTGGTTTGGGAAACGGGGGCGGGGTGGGACAGTGCATGTGAGTGTGTGAGGGTGTCTGTGTGTGGGGGTGTTGCCTTGCGTGTGAGCCTGAGCACCTGTGGGAGTGCAGTGCCAAAGGCGCCGCTTGATTTCAAAGCCTCGAGGCCATGCATAGAGATACGGTGAAGGACGCAGATCAACGGGCTCTAAAACAAGAGCCGGAAGATGCTCCAGGGTGGAATTATACGCTGTGAGAGCGAAGCTGAGAGCTTAAGAAAGAGTCGAATTTTCCTGCAGGGGGCTCTCGGAGCCTAACTGGGACGAGAGCCAACGAAGACGCCCAGTTAGAGCTTGTGAAGCAAGGATGGACGCATCCTTGTGTACCTGCGCAGTGTTCATAGTGCTGTTGTTTCCTTTTGGTCACTCAGTGATCCGAAGTTTCAGCACCTCCTGGATGAGATCTGACAACAGTGTACTATTGTACAACAATCTCTGGTTGACCTCCCTCTCTCCGAGTGTGTGTGTGTGTGTGTGTGAGTGGGTGCTGTGCAATGATGAAACAAGTTCCCCCATGATGCGAGTTTTGTGTTTGCCCTCTCTTCTAAGCTGCGCAAGCTTGCTTCAAAAGCACATGAATCCTTTCCAAACCCCATCGTGAAAGCAATGAAGATCAGTAAGGATCCTAGTCCTATGAAAATTTGTAGGCATCCTTTTATAATTTAGAGGGAATGGAGGTTGTCCTAGGGAAAACCAAGGAAGCAGACCCAAAATTACTCAGACTTCGACTAGAAACATTAAGATTCTTACTAACGTTGATAAAACTCCGAATATCCAGGGAAAAGTGGGTTGTCTAGGCAAAACCAAGGAAACAGACCCAATAAAGAGATGCCAAAACAAACGGAACATACCCAAAAAAGTCCACCCCACACCCGACAGCCCTAAGCCCTAAAAACTAAACTTCCCTTTGAACCTTGAAGCCCGAAGCACAGGGTCCCAAAACCCCTCAACCCAGAGATCACACAGCGGTTGCGCCTTAGGCCCGGCGTGGTGTCGCAGAACTCGGCGATATCCGCGTGCGAGCGAGGACACTGAGCCACCTCGGGATAAGCATGTTTAAGGCTCAGGCGTTGGGTGTTGTTTTCTGGGGCTTTGGTTTTCCCTTTAACGCCTAATGAAATCCGAGGCCCTAAACCCTCCTGGTACAAGGTTTTAGGCTTAGGCTTGGGGGTTCAGGGTTTTTGGGTCGAGTTCCATCGGAACCTGGGAGCTCGGTACTCTGACAGAAAGCAAAAATGCTGATGTTGACCGTGCAAAAGCAACGAGTTGGTCGTTTCCGAAAAACTGCACCTGACGGCGACGCATGTTTGAACCATGCCAAGACGTGTTTGTTTCGGCCTTGCCATGCTTTTCAGCATGTGACCAGACGTGACGCAGGGCAAACGAACACGACACGCCCTAGTACCCGGGTAGGGTGGGGTAGGGTAGAGCGGGGGGGTAAGTTGAGGGTTTAGGCCAAGGGTTTCTGTTGGGTTTTGGGGTTCTGTTGCCCGAAGGGCATCCTAATACCCTCAAAGCCCTCAAAGTTAAAATCTAAGGTTGAACAAGCCTGAACCCTAAACCCTAAACCCTAAACTCCAAACTTGGCAAGGCCCATGCCAAGGTCCTCGGCTCCTTTTCTTCTAGGGGGACCCAGGGTGGGCCCTTTCTTGTTTTTTGGGAAGGGGAAGGGTTAGGGTTTAGGGTTTCGGGTTTAGGGTTTTGGATTTCGGGTTTAGGGTCTTGGGTGTAAACCCTAAACACCTCCCCCCCCCCTCGCCCGGTTCAGCACCAACAGAGGTTAAGTACCTTGGGGGGGATTTAGGGGTTGATGGTTGAGGGTTCACACGCCTAAACCCCAAACCCTATACCCTAAACCCAGACTTCTGAGGGTTGAGACCCCAAACCCGCACTTCAAAAAAACTCCCTCCACCCTAAAACGGACTTCGTTCACGGTGCAGCCTAGACCAAGTATCCCCAAGCAGGCCGACAGTGGCACTACGCCCACGAGCTCCTGGAAGAGATGAAGGCAGGGTCTGTACTTGGAGGGGCGAGGCTGGGGTTTAGGGTTTAGGGTTTAGAGTTTAGGGTTTAGGGTTTAGGGTTTAGGGTTTAGGGTTTAGGGTTTAGGGTTTAGGGTTTAGGGTCTAGGGTCTAGGGTCTAGGGTCTAGGGTTTAGGTTAGTTTCATGGGCCCTTTAGATGGTCCCTTACCTCCTTGAAAGGGTTCTGATGTATGGGGCCTTAATTTGTTTCAGGTGTATAAGGGGTACCCGTTTAAGGGCAAATACCAACAAACCATGCAACGACCCCTAGTTTAGGGTTTAGGGTTCAGGGTTCAGGGTAGAGGCGCGGCGGGGGCAGGGGGTTAATGTGAAGACATGTATTGGGAGAACCGTCTGCCAAAGTGGTGCAGAACAATCCCTGCTCTTTACATATCAGCTCCTGCGCAAAATTGCCTAGCTTGCAGGGCTCAGAGTTTTCTAGTTCGGGATAGGTTCGTTGAAGGTACTGAACACAATCCAACACTCCAAGGTTCTTGGGTAGTTATAAGTAGGGTTTCAAGTACGGCAACATACATGTTTGCCTTAGGTACTTAAGTTCGAGTCCGCCTCCCCCCACCACTGCCCCTAAATTCGGGCCTCGAGAGGGTGGAGGCTGGGCCTACGGGGTTAGGGGTTGAGGGGTTGAGGGGTTTAGGGTTTAGGGTTTAGGGTTTAGGGTTTAGGGAAGGCCTCTGACGATTCCGTGGGAGGCCAGAACCTTGCTTCCAGACGCTGTAAGCCTCAGCGCTGCTGTGAGCGCTGGCGAGAAGGGCTGGCGCCTGTCTCAGGATTCTTCAGGGTTTAGGGGTTAGGGTTTAGGGTTTCCGGTTAGGGTTTAAAGGCTTAGGGTTTAGGGTTTAGGGTTTAGGATTAGGGTTTAGGATTAGGGTTTGGGGTTTGGGGTTTGGGGGTTTAAGGATGGGCGTTTGGCGGGGGCAAGGGCTGATGCTATCAAGGCCTCACAGAGCGAATGAGCCCCCTTTGGAACATTTTTTCTCCTTTCTTGGAGGTTCACGGTACTTATCAACCAATTATAACTCTACTTAAAACCTTACAAGCCCCTTAAGTGCCCTAATATGGTTATAAGTACAGTTATGAGTACAGTTATAGTTGGTTAGTAAGTACCATGAACCTCCAAGTTCCCTGGGATAGACCGGGGCAAACCCGACGCTGAGGGACCAGGTGGGGGGAATTCTTTGCAGTTTAGGGTTTTAGGGTTTTAGGGTTGTAGGGTTGTAGGGTTTAGGGTTTAGGGTTTCAGTGTTCGGGTTTTAGGGTTTTAAGGTCTAGGGTTTAGGGGTTTCGTTGGGGCTGCCGATGCGTGCAGGCAAGGAGGGTTTGGTGCAAGAAGCACTGCACCCTAAACTTAGCGATCAGTTCTTACGTACCCCCAAAACCCTCAACAAGACAATACCCAAAACCCCTGAATCCTAAATCCCTTAACCTCTAACCCCTACATCTCCTACACCCTAAAGCCCCAGACCCCGAAATCCCCAAACCTCCTGAATCCCCTAAATCCCCTACGCCCGAAAACCCCGAAAATCCTGAACCATAAACACAAGACTAAACCCTAAACCCCCAAACCCCAAATCCACTAAGCCCTAAGAATGCCCCTCAATCCCCCAAAGCCCCCCGAACCCTAAACGCCAAACCCTAAACCTTAAACCCTAAACCCTAAACCCTAAACCCTAAACCCTAAACCCTAAACCCTAAACCCTAAACCCCCAAAAACCCTAAAGACTTTTGGATCCCTTGAGCTTCCAGGGAGTGGCGCTTCCCCTTGGACCTCCTGGCTTGGGCCTCCCGCGCCCGCGTCCGCACGGAGGCCGCAGCGCGTTGTTTGAGAGAGTTCTGGGGCTTTGGAAAGCAAAAGAGGGGGGTGGGGGATTTAGGGTTTAGGGTTTAGGGATTAATTGGGGTTTAGGGTTTAGGGTTTCGGATTTAGGGTTTTAAGCTTAGGGCTTAGGGTTTAGGGTTTAGGATATAGGGAGGGGGGGGGGGAGTTTGAGTCTAAGGCTTCGGGCTTACAAGGGGCCACGAGGGGTTTAGGTTTTGGAAGGGGGGGGGGGGGGGGGAAGTAAGGGGTTGTCCGATGAGTTCTGAGGCTGACAAGGGTTTTCAGATTTTTTTTTGGGGGGGGGGGGGGGGGGGGATGTGTCACGTCTGGGGGTCCTTCTTCTGGGAACTCTAACCCTGAACCCTAAACCCTAAACCCCCCGAACCCCAAACCTAAACCCTAAAACCTGCACCCTAAGGCCTCAGACTCCAGGTCGTCACCTGCAACGCAGCTCTCAGCGCGTGGGGCCTGGCTGGCTTTCAACGGTCTGGGCTTGAGGGTTCAGGGTTCAGGGCCGAGGGTTCAGGGATCAGGGTTCAGGGATCAGGGTTTAGGGTTTGGGGGGCTTAGGGTGGGCAGGGTGGCACTGTTCGCCAGTGCATCAAGTGGTGGGGGCTCACGTCCCCTGAACCCTGAACCCATGTGCATGCGCATGATGTAGTTGCTTACGCGTGTGATGCCTATCCTGGCACAACAGAATTCACAAAACTCCAAGACCCGCAAGGGTCCGCGCCCCTTCTAAACAACATTAACCCCATACCCTTCTCGCCGGAAGCCCGAAGCCTGAACCTCTTCATTCTTGGGTTAACTGGGGAAGCCACTCACCCTCGGCACACCCAATAAACACCCCCCCCCGCCCAGTCGCTTGTAGGGCCTCGCAGGCTCCAGCACCCGACTTCCTAAACCGATAACCCCTAGGGTTCAGGGTTTAGGGTTTAAGGTTTAGGGTTTAGGGTTCAGGGTTTCGGGTTTAGGGTCCCGCAATGAGGGTTTAGGGTTTAGGACGTCCGGAAAGCCGAGGCCTGCGGCCAGTGTGGTCAGTCTGAGGCCGATGCCGTCGGTTTAGGGTTTAGGGATGAGGGTTCAGAGTTTAAGATTTAGGGTTTAGGGTTGAAGATTCAGAGTTTAAGATTTAGGGTTAAGGGTTTAGGGTTCAGGGATTAGGGTTCAAGGTTTAGGGTTTAGCGTTCAGCGTGTCGGGGGGTGTATCAGGTTTACTTTAAGCAACGCTGACAACAGCATTTAGGCAAGCAAGTTAAGGGTTCAGCCTTCGGCGTTTTAAGGGTTTAGGGTTTAGGGCTTAGGGTTAAGGGTTTAGGGTTTAGGGTTTAGGGTTTAGGGTTTAGGGTTTAGGGTTTAGGGTTTGGGGGGGTCAGGGTTTTTGAAGGGTTGAGGGTTAAGGCGGCTTAGGGTTTAGGGTTTTGCGTTTTGGGTTGAGGGTTTTTTGGCGGCTTAGGGATGAGACTTGGTGGATCTGGGTAGGGTTTAGGGTTTAGGGTTTAGGGTTTAGGGTTTAGGGTTTAGGGTTTAGGGTTTAGGGTTTAGGGTTTAGGGCATGCTCCCATTGGGGGTGGCGGCGATTCTGTAGGGACGCTAAAGCTCCATATCGGCGAGAACGACCTCTCAATGGCCCTCAACTCCAAACCCTGAACCTTAAACCCCAAACCCTGAACCTCAACCCCCCAACCCTAAACCCTACTCTCAGTCGGGTAAGCAGGTGCACGCGTAAGGGACTCATGAACACCAGGAACCCTCAAATAGGCAGGGCTTTTCTGGGCTACGGGCCCTGAACTCTAGATCCTAACATCCCCAAACCCCGCAATCCCCAACTTTCCCACCCCTAAACCCTAAACCTTAAACCGTAAACCCTTAACCTGTAAGAAAGGAGCCTTTTGGGGTGCTGCTACCTGCATAGTGCTGCCCCAAAAAACCCTAAACCCTGGCATCGGCCCAGCACCGTATGAGGGGTATCCCCAATTTGGACCCTGTGGGTTTAGGGTTTAGGGTTTAGGGTCGCGAAAGCTTCTTCAAGGACGCTGATTTCGTCAGGCATTGAGGGGTCTAGGCAGTCTGCAAGAAGCTCTCCTTGTGCACATATCAAGGTGGCTTTGGCATGCAGATCTGGGTGCTGCAGGTCATCTTGCAAATCTGCTTCTTCTAGGACCATTGCCAAGAGTAGGCCCTTATTCCCTTTTTCTAGGATTTAAGTTCCCAAACAAAACCCTGTTTAAACCATAAAGGGCACCATTTTTATTCCTAGGTTACTCCTGGGTCTAGTTTTGTTTCTCATGGATTCCTGTTTCTTCCAGATCGCAGGTTCTTGCTCTTTGTCCCCTAAACCCTAAACCCGAAACCCTAAACCCTGGATTCCAACCTTGTCGCCGCCTTCGCGATGCCTGGCGCGTGCTGGCTCCGACCTTCCGCAGGTGTTCGCTTCGACTTGCTCGACTGGCGCGGTGTCTCGCGCAGTCTTCTGTAGGCGCGCTGCACTCGCCCTACACGACTGTTGCGGCACACAATGCCCTCGCGCGCGCCTTGCAGCGAATCTGGCAGAGATCCTGCACGAAGCAGCGTGGCGACTCTGAAGAAATCGTTTCGAGGTGCCTCAACAAACCGGGTTGAACGAAAGCGCCATGCACACTCACCTTGCGGAGCACCCGGTGAAGATTCATATTGAAGGTTGCCTTGCTCAGGGCTTAGGGATTTTGGACTTAGGTTTAGGGTTTAGGGTTTAGGGCAATAACTCTACTTCTAAACCCTGAACCTTAAACAAACGACTCATGATCCCTCCAGTCGCCTTGTGTTAGGCGGCCCTGGCCCTGTTCCAGGAGATGTGCAAGGCCGAAGAACAGCTTGGGGCTTAGGGTTTGTTCCCCCCCCCCCCCCCCCCAAATCGCCTTAAACCTCCCAAACCCTAAACCCCAAGCCCCGAACCCCGAACCCCAAACCCTAAACCCCAAACCCCTAAACCTCCCCAGCTTTCGCCTTCAGTGTTTCAGAGGCCTCAGGCAAGCCAAGGGGTTCGGGCTTCAAGGGTTTAGGGTTTCGGGCTTAGGCTTTGCGAATTAGAATTTAGGGTTTAGGGTTTCGGGTTTAGGAATTCGTATTTGGGGTTTAGGGTTTCGGATTTGGGGCCGATGTCTGCCTGAGGACGGGCTGGGATGGGAGTCAAAGCCGTAATGCGCAAAAGCTGCGTCGTGGAGGGAAGGGATTTCTAGTGCAGAATAAGTACAATACATGTAACATTTAAGATCATGTGGGTCTTCGCGCGACTTCGGGGGGGGGGGGGGGGTGAACTGCTGCATCAGGGTTAGGGGAGACCTATAAGCTGGACCCTAACACATCGCAGCACTCAGTGAGGGTCAGGGAGTTGAGGGTCTTTCGGGGGTTTCGTTTTCGGGTTTAGGGCCTTTAGAGATGTTGGGTTAGGGAGGGGTGTGCGACCTCGAAGGCCTACAGGGGTTAGTGGCTTAAACCCAGTGACCGAACCGACCTACACCCCTAAACCCTGCCACGCCCGAAGTACACTCAAAGCACCTGGGATGGGCTGCGGCTCTAAGAAGCTTGAACGTTTAGGGTTTAGGGTTTGCTAGCGTTAACTAACAGAACTTCACCAACTTTACCACATATCCGAGTTCAACTTTCTGGACTGCAAGACAGCCAAAGCCTAGCTTCAGACTTCGTGGTTCTGGGTCCGCGGCAGCCTTTCGCGCCTCATTTCCGATCTAAGTATCGGAAAGGCTTAGGGAATTCCTGTTTCATCTCTCACAGCCCTGGGAGACTCAGGCTCAAGAGCTCGTAGCGCTTCAGAACTCAAGGTATCGTTTGCTACGAGCTTGGCAGAAGCATTTGCAAGCGGTTAATATGACTTCTGACGCTGCATTGCGAAGGTAGGCGAAGTTTTCAGCCGAGTCTTTTGGCACGTGGTTGCTTCGTGCTCTGCTACTGTGGCAATGCAAGACAGACATCGGATGGCCTCGTTTTGGTCTCGGAGTCGCCGCACATGGTAGTCACAGTCTGAGTAAAGCTATCACTTGTAGGCACTGGAGTGACACATTTCGTTCATTTCCAAATTAAGGGTTGGTCCACTACTGCCCCAAAATGATCTAATCGTTGCTCTAGGAACTTCCAGAGAGCAAGCTTCCCCAAGGTCCCATCTCGCATTGAAGCCCTCTACATGCGTTCGCGCAAAGTTGCTTCCGAAGCCTGGGAGGGTCTTGGAGATATTCCCAAACTTTGGTATCTTGGTTTAGGTTTTAGGGCACTCATGGGTTTCGACACTCCGATGAGAGGCACTCCACAGCGCAAGCACAAATCAAAAGACGGCGCTACCTAGACCTCGCACCAAACCCAACTAGCCTGATCCCGACTGTGGGTTGATCTGGAATTGCGCATCTTTGTTGGGCACATGAATCTGTAAAGATCATCGTAGGCTACGCCCAATCAAGATCTTAGAAGTTGAGGTCTGGCCTCAAATATGTCCCCCGGCTTGCGTCCAGGCTCCGCACCTGCCAACGCCCAATAAGGCCGGGGGTTGAAACTGACTGGCTCTTGCTTGAAGAATCGGGGGACTGAGTAGGTACTAGGTAGCGTTGTAAGTCCGTTAACCCTGAGCCCTGATAACCCTACTTCCCAGCTACCCTGAACCCTAAACCTTTACGCTCACTACCCGAAACTCCAAACCGGCCCAAACCGGTTTTTTGGCACATCAGCAATCAGCCTCACGAGCCTCCTGCTAAGTCGACAAGTACCAGTCATCACTGGTTATATCATGCAAAGGGAAAGGGGAAAAGTTGCTGTTTAGGGTTTAGGGTTTAGGGTTTAGGGTTTAGGGTTTAGGGTTTAGGGTGTCACAGGCCAGGAGATATGCCATCCCGAAGAACCCAAGCCAAGACCTTAGAATGATTATTAAACTGTCTCGAACAAGTGAGTCCGGACTGATTTCCGAACCCGAATCACTTCATGTGTCTAATACCTACAATGTGTTCAGCCAAACCCTAACCTAAAACCTCCAAACCTCAAGCCCTAAACCCCAAATCCCAAACCCTAAGCAGCCCCAAATTGCGCACTTTTGGCCAGGTCTCCTACAACGCAGTCATCAGCGCCTGCGCATCAGGCGCCAACCGCCACAGCAGGGCCCTAAACCCTAAATCCTAGACCTGCTGCCGACGAACCCTTCAACCCCTAAAGAGCCCTCGAGAGGCCTCTTATGGCCCCAGGGCCTTGTGCTGCTCCGGCGCTTGGGGGAGCCAGAGCTGCCACCGCCCGGGGGCCCGAATTCTCCAAGTTTGGGGGGTGAAGGATTGAAAGTTTAGGGCTTAGGGTTGTAGATCTTGAGGGGGTTGAGGGTTCAGGACTGCGGGAATTCCCGGCTGAGAGATTTTCGGGTTTGGAAGTTGAGGGCGGAGCGTTGAGGACGTTTTGCTCTATGCTTTGCGGTTTAAAGGCTCTTCAAGGATGGGGGTTTTAGGGTCAATCATGTACCTTGATGGAGCTAGCCGGCTTTGAGGCCGTTTAGGGTTTAGTGGGGTTAGTGGGGAACACAGCAATGGCACCTGCCGGTTTTAAAGGTTTCTCGACATATTTGTGGGGGCAGCTTTTTTTTGGAGGGTGGGGGAACGGGGGACCCTAAACCCCCAAACCCCTACACTCCGAAGCCCCTAAACCCTAAAACCGCCAAACCCCTGCAAGCCCTTCAGCCTTCCATAGCACAACCAAGCGACACTAAGTGATCGCTCGAAAGGTACAACGCCTTGGCCTCCTCATGCTGCAGGCTCTGAGGGCTTCGAAGCTTCGAGCCTTGCTTTTGCCTTTTTTGGTATTTTGGGAGGGGGGGGGGGGGGGGGATTTGGGTAAACCCTAAACCCTAAACACTAAAACCCTGGGGTTTAGGGTTTGGGGATTAGGGTTTAGGGTTTAGGGGGGCTTCGGGTTCAGGATCCCTGAACTCTATGCCAGCTAAGCCTCCAAAGCCTACGCAGTTCGGGTTCAGGACGAGTTGAAGGAGTTCACTCGGATGAGGGCTTTAGGGTTCAGGGTTGAAGGTTTTTCAGTAGTGGTGTCCCTTGGCTTTCTTTTTCTTGACACTAGGAGGCCTATCGGCTCCCTTTGTTCGTTTCAAGCTTTTGTGGGGCGAAGTTTTGGGCTGCGCCTTCAGGGTTCAGTGTTCAGGGTTTAGGGTTTAGGGTTTAGGGTTTGGGGTGTCCCTCTTGGCAGGTGTAACGAGCTGGGTGCCCAGCGGTTGCTCTTTCGAAGCTTGACAGGTCGACTTACTGTTCAGTGTCCCCAGAGCGCGTTGGGGTTTGGGGTGTTCAACTTCGGGATCCACAGACTTCAAGAAGCTAAGGGAGGATGGCTTTCTGGCTTGGTAGTTAACACCTCTAAAGCCTGAACTGTAAACCCTAAACCTGAAAAACTAAACCCTAAACCCTAAGCCTTAAACGCAAACTCTAACCACCCCTTACCCTGAGCACCCCTGACCCATGTTGGCTTTTCCAGGATCTTACTTGTGAGTTGCGTTCCACACGGTTGGCCCACCATCACTGGTAAGGACCCTATACGATCGTTTCATGAAAAAATGTGTTGTCATCTTTGCTTATATAAATCCGATGATACTACGCATTACATACATGTCTAGATATTCCTTTCATGGTTCCAAAGGGAAATAAATTCAATGTTAAAGGTTACTTCTTTCACCCTCTGGTAGGAGCACCAACTTTGGTCCTGAGCAGGCAACCCTTCTGATTTTCTATCCCTTTAGCGCACCATGAGCCCTTTAAACCTCAAAGGCCAACCTTTCAACTTCCCTGAGCCCTTAGGGTTTGGGGTTTGGAGCTTTTTCTTAAACCGCAAGCTCAAACCCTTAAATTCCTAAGCCCTAAACCTTAAACCCTAAACCCTAACCCTAAACCCCCTCTCTTTCTTAGGCTGTCGGTTTCACTGGAGCTGCTGGACGAAGCACGGAGGCCCCGCGGGGGGGGGGGGGGGGGGGGGGGGGCTGGACACTTACCTGGCGCTTGTCTTTTGGTGTAAGGCGAAAAGAAGCTAGGGTTTAGGGTGTAGGGTTTAGGGTTTAGGGTTAAACCAGCTGTCAGCTTTTTTTGACAGTTGAGACCGGAGGGCAGAGGCTGGTTTGTTTCCGGGGAGGTGGAGTGCTTCCCGAAAAACCGGTTTAGGCCTTGGGGTTAGAACTGGCTAGCTCTATTGTTGCTTTTGAATACTTTTACAGCCAGGAGGAATGCTTCCTTTCTTGCGTTGCAGGCGATCCCTGCATGGTTTGAGGAAATTCCTTGGTGAAAGGAGACAAGTCCACCTACAACCAGCAGGGTTTAGGGTTTAGGGTTTAGGGTCCCCGAACCCGTAAAGCTTCAATGCCTCTTGCAGCAGGTGTGCAGCGAACCGCCCCTCCAGCAAATAGCATTTCCAGCTTCTAGACCCCTTTCTTGTTAGCGTAATATAGGGGTCGGAATAATTACCAAGAGTATTCCCTCATGGTTCCTACATAGATATACTATTATAACCCTCTTCAAAACTCGATTCTAATTATTAAGGCCCCTGTAGCACGCCCTAAACCCTAAAGCGACCTCAAACCCCTAAACCCGGGGCTGTCTCCAGCTACGTGGAGAAGCCAAACCGCCTGCTCCCATCGAACGACCTTCTCTTGGGTTAAGGGATTTTGGGTTTGGGGTTTGAATTTCCAAAATGTGGGGAGGGGGCACCCACGAAGATTAGAGCATTTTGGGCTACGTAAGCGGACAGAAAAAGCCGTATCCTCTGGCAACTCTGCAAGACGAACCCGAGTCCCCCCCCCAGTTACCTACCCATATAACCCGGAATCTCGCAAGCCACGAATTTTTCGGGCTTGGCCTCCCCACGGTTGCAGGAGCTTTGCAGCTCAGGGTTTGGGATGGCTATGTTACCCTAAACCCAAAAAGACACCGAAACCTTGAGCCCCAAAACCCCGAAAGCCCCTGGCATCAAAGCCCTCGTTCAGGCTCGGCCTGCAGCTCGACACACTGAGCTATCTGGCAGGGACTCCCGGGGGTGGCAGCCCATCATCTTGGTAGCTGAGTGGCGCCCATGTTGCCCGTATGAGTTCCCTTGTACAAGTAGCTACTGTAGCGCCAAAAAAGGGACCCTTTTTTGCCCGTATGAGTTCCCTTGTACAAGTAGCTACTGTAGCGCCAAAAAAGGGACCCTTTTTTCTAGTATGCTTACTTGCCTACCAAGTCATAATACGTCATCGTTTCCTTTCCTGGTGCTGGTTTTTGAAGAAGAACAGATGTAAGAATACTTCTCAGATGGCTTCAAGGGTCTACGCAGCTGTGCTAAACCATAGACAAAGAGCCTTAAACCCACAGACCCCTAAACCCCAAGCCCTTTTAGTGTTTGTGTGGGTTTAGTGTCTAGGGTTCGGGGTTTTGGAACCTTGTTTGGTGTTTCTGTGGGTTTGGTGTTTAGGGTTTGGAGCGTCTAGGGTTCGGAGTTTAGGAAACCTGTTTAAGTGTTTCTGTGGGTTTAGTGTTTGGGGTTTGTGTTTAGGGCTTGCAAGGCTGAAATGCCCCAACATTCCTAATAAGAAGAGGACCCACCAATGCCGCACGATTCGAAGCGCGCTTTCTTGCGTAAACCCTACAGTCCGAGTTACGCGGGGCTTTCAAACTAGTTATAACTGTTTATGGCAACTTCCGAATACAATTCAACGAGCCCCACAAAAGCTAAAGCCAAAACCAACCCTGTAACTCCCAAGCGCCCTTCTGTTAAAGACCCCAAGCCCCAAAATTCTCGGCAGCCCGTCAAACCCAGAAACTCGAAACCCTTGTTTCGAACAGCCCCAACCACCTTTCCCCCCCCCCCCAAAAAAAAAAAGATAACAATGAATAGTAATATTGATTCTTTTTACTGCCCTAAACCCAAACACATTCAGCCCGAAACCCTGAACCCTAAAACCCTAAAACCCTAAAACCCTAAAACCCTAAAACCCTAAAACCCTAAAACCCTAAAACCCTAAAACCCTAAAACCCTAAAACCCTAAAACCCTAAACCCCCCAACCCGCGAAACCTGAACCCCGGCTTCCAGGGCCTGGCACCGGCCCTGGGTGGGCCAAGGCGGGTGCGGAGGAAGTGCCGTGGTTTAGGGCTTAGGGTTTAGGGTTTAGGGTTTAGGGTTTAGGGTTTAGGGCTTGTCGATTTAACATGCGTAGTGTATGGAAAGAGAGACGGACGTCCGAAGCCTTCAGCGCAAAAGAGTTCCGTCATGTACATGGAGCTCTACTTTCTCCCACCCCAGGATGCCACCCAAAGCATTTGTAAGACGCTTAAGTTCTTAAGCGTCGCTAATACTGATAATAGTGTTTGGTAAAGATATTTCAGAATATGTGTATATAGACCATGCACTGACACAGTGAATGGCTGTAATTATGTTCCATAATTACCATTTACTTCTAGGTAAGACTAGAAAGTCGGCTTCGCTAAAGCCTTTGGGTGGCTTAGGGGGGCTTACCCCCTCCTGTGGGGTACCCCACACAGAAAAACGCCTTGTTTTGGAATAAGTTTTGGCTCCAAGCACGATTTAGAAAGGCCAGACAAAGAAAAACGCACTTAAAGAGGCTACACACAAAGAAACGCATTGTTTTGGAATAATTTTTGGCCCCAAGCACGATTTAGCAAGGCCAGACAAAGAAAAACACGCTGTTCCCGAGTAATTTTTGGCTCCAAGGCCTTTGGCTGGCCACAAGCACTCGAGGGTCCATTTTTTGATCCGGGTTTGACTGGGGCTTAGGGTGGCTTCCCCTCTCCTGGGCTACCCCACAGGAAAGCTACAATTCCAGAAAATGAGGGGGTAATTTCCGCTATATAAAATCTATTTAAAATTAACTGGGAATCGAGCCATTTTTCCCGAATCCTGGGGTACCCCCCACGGAGCCTCCCTGGGACCTTCAAAAAAAGCTTTCAGCTTCCTTCAGACTTTCGAAAGAGCTTCAGAGAGGCCACACAAAGAGAAACGCACTGTTTTGGAGTAATTTTTGGCTTCAACCACGATTTCGCAAGGCCAGACAAGAAAAACGCACTGCCCCGAGTAATTTTTAGCTCCAAGGCCTTTGGCTGGCCACGAGTAGCAAGGCCAGACAAAGAAAAACACGCTGTTCCCGAGTAATTTTTGGCTCCAAGGCCTTTGGCTGGCCACAAGCACTCGAGGGTCCATTTTTTGATCCGGGTTTGACTGGGGCTTAGGGTGGCTTCCCTTCTCCTGGGCTACCCCACAGGAAAGCTACAATTCCAGAAAATGAGGGGGTAATTTCCGCTATATAAAATCTATTTAAAATTAACTGGGAATCGAGCCATTTTTCCCGAATCCTGGGGTACCCCCCACGGAGCCTCCCTGGGACCTTCAAAAAAGCTTTCAGCTTCCTTCAGACCTTCGAAAGAGCTTCAGAGAGGCCACACAAAGAGAAACGCACCGTTTTGGAGTAATTTTTGGCTTCCACCACGGTTTAGCAAGGCCAGACAAAGAAAAACACGCTGTTCCCGAGTAATTTTTGGCTCCAAGGCCTTTGGCTGGCCACAAGCACTCGAGGGTCCATTTTTTGATCCGGGTTTGACTGGGGCTTAGGGTGGCTTCCCCTCTCCTGGGCTACCCCACAGGAAAGCTACAATTCCAGAAAAGGAGGGGGTAATTTCCGCTATATAAAATCTATTTAAAATTAACTGGGAATCGAGCCATTTTTCCCGAATCCTGGGGTACCCCCCACGGAGCCTCCCTGGGACCTTCAAAAAAGCTTTCAGCTTCCTTCAGACCTTCGACAGAGCTTCAGAGAGGCCACACAAAGAGAAACGCACTGTTTTGGAGTAATTTTTGGCTTCAACCACGATTTAGCAAGGCCAGACAAGAAAAACGCACTGTTCCCGAGTAATTTTTAGCTCCAAGGCCTTTGGCTGGCCACGAGTAGCAAGGCCAGACAAAGAAAAACACGCTGTTCCCGAGTAATTTTTGGCTCCAAGGCCTTTGGCTGGCCACAAGCACTCGAGGGTCCATTTTTTGATCCGGGTTTGACTGGGGCTTAGGGCGGCTTCCCCTCTCCTGGGCTACCCCACAGGAAAGCTACAATTCCAGAAAAGGGGGTAATTTCCGCTATATAAAATCTATTTAAAATTAACTGGGAATCGAGCCATTTTTCCCGAATCCTGGGGCACCCCCCACGGAGCCTCCCTGGGACCTTCAAAAAAGCTTTCAGCCTCCTTCAGACCTTCGAAAGAGCTTCAGAGAGGCCACACAAAGAGAAACGCACCGTTTTGGAGTAATTTTTGGCTTCCGCCACGGTTTAGCAAGGCCAGACAAGGAAAACGCGCTGTTCCCGAGTAATTTTTGGCTCCAAGGCCTTTGGCTGGCCACGAGCACTCGAGGGTCCATTTTCTGATCCGGGTTTGATGTCAGGGTTTTGCGGGCGTTAAATAACTCTTGTATTAGTACTGACAGTACTGTCTATAGAAATATTAACGAATATTTGTATACAGACATGCACTTACCTGTAAATGGCTGTAATTATATTCTATAATTACCATTTACCTCTAGGTAAGACTAGAAGGTCATTTGTTTACATTCCCGTCAAGGTGTGTTACGCTCCTGTACGTGAGAAGGCTTAAGCTGAGCACTCAGGCTTAAGCTTAGAGTTTAGGGTTTAGGGTTTGGAGTTTGGAGTTTAGGGTTTGGGGTGTTTGGGGTTTGGGGGTGGTTTAGGGTTTAGGGTTTGGGGTTTGGGGTGTTTGGGGTGTTTGGGGTTTAGGGGTGGTTTAGGGTTTAGGGTTTCGGGTCTAAACCCAACACTCTACACCCCCAAACCCAAAGACCCTGGACTGTCAAGCCCCAAAAGCCTGAAGCCCTGAGACCCCGAACCTCAAATCGAAAAAAAAAAAAACTGAAGCCCTAAAGCCCGACACCCTCAAAGCCTCAAGCCCTAATCCCTACCTTTCCTGAACTGCAACGCGTTTTGTCCGATCTTTGGACACGCGGTTCCAACCTGCAATGTTCCCGACATTCTGGGGTGTGTGAAAATATGGACACCTAGTTCCCTTACGAAAAGGGTCCCAACGAGGTACCCCCCAAATGTCGGAAACCCTTTCGTTTTTATTTGTTATCATGTTTTTTCTTTCGGGGGGGGGGGGGGGGGGGATAGGAGTCCTTTCGTGCTACATCCTCCAAGGGGGGGGGGGGGGGGGGGGGGGGGGGTGAGGGCTAAGTCACGGTTTCGGGTTCAGGGAGCGTTTCAAGATGAACGTGCCTTGGGAGTTACCCTGGGCCCCAAACCCTGAAGCCCCTCAGTTCTCTTGGGCTTCAGGGCCTGTGTCTTCGTGGCCAAAGTGCGAAGTTGCACAGGCTTCTGGTGCACCCTAAACCTGAACCCTGAACCCTGAACCCTAAACCCTAAACCCAGTCCCAGCCCCAGGCGAGTTTGTAGGGTTTAAGGGTTTTGGACTTTAGGGTAACTTCTCCAAGTGAGGCCTTCGGAGGTTCCTAAACCCTAAACCCTAAACCCTGAACCTTAAATTCACCAAGCCCTGAGACTGCTATAAGGAAAAAAACATCCCGAAGCGCTGGGCTCCAAACCCTAACCCCTAAGCCCTGTAAACCCAAAAAAGACAATCCAATCCCTAAACCCTAAACCCTAAACCCTAAACCCTAAACCCCCTTCCCGCCTGCAGTCGCCATCCTGAACTGCGGCATCTCCTCGCCTATGCCCGCGACGCCGAGGCGCGCGAGCAGCCTCGTCCTGTCCCCTCCTATCCCCCTGGGAAGTATTTTTTGTTTTTGTTCATATTAAAACCCAAGAGGATATTCAAAATATTATGTTTATGAAGGTTCTAAGGGGAGTATAGTCCCCATGTTCAGTGCATGTCGGGCTTTTGAGATTCCGGGCTTCGTGGGGCTTTCTGAGATTCAGGTTGGCATGTTCCCCCTTATACTTTCGGTCTTTAAGATAGTGCCTTCTATTATCATCCCTATTCAGGACTGTTAGTATAAGGGGGAAAATTCCAAGTTTTGGGTTTTTTGAGATTTAGGGCTGTTGGGGCTTTGCGCTCAGAAAGTTTTTGGGTTTGGGGGGGGGGGGGGGTTTAGAGATTCAGAAACTTCGCAGCGGTAGGATCGTGACGGAATTTCGCTTTTGGTAAAGCAGAGCGGAATTGAATATCTGAAACAGAACAGCAGGTTACGGGCTTTGGGCTTTAAGATTCGGAGCTTGGGAGGGTTAAGGGGTTCAGCATCCCGATGCAAACAGCCCCTGCCACATTTGGCAGCGCGCCCCTTGCCTGCCCCTTCAACTCTGGAGCACAAACCACCCTGAACCCCAAACCTGGGAGCCTAAACCCTAAACCCTAGCCCTAAACCCTAAACCCGAAACCCAAACCCTAGCCCTACACCCTAAACCCTACAAAGTATTGATAATAAGTTCTCGTATAGCAGACTACGTAATCATACACTGCAGCCTACCTACAAAAGAACAAGCAAAACGTCACGCTAGCGAGCCAAGAACATACGATCAAAAAATCAAAGCTCAAACCTAAACCATCCCAAACCCCAACATCAAATCCTAAGCCCCAAGCATATCAATCCCAACCTGAAATCCTAAACCGCTCCCACACCCCCATACTGCGGAGCTCTGAAATTTGGGGTCTGCCTGGGTTTAGGAATCAGGGGGACGGCTGGGGATAGCGCACCCTCTCCCTCCAAACTCCAAACCTTCTTACAATTTGTGGGGCAGATCAGACAAAACAGGCTCAAAAAACACAGTCCGCCCCGGAACCGCTGCATTTCAGCATTGGCTTCTACGAAACCGGGCAAGAAATCAGAGCCCGAAAATCCGACAACGCCCCCAAGGCCCCAAAGACCAAAGGCTTGAGAGGCCAGGGGGCGCGCTCTGAACCCCTCTATTCCCCTCTGATTCAGGGTTTAGGGTTTAGGGTTTAGGGTTTAGGGTTTAGGGTTTAGGGTTTCGGTTTAAGGTTTCGGGTTTAGGGTTTAGGTGTTTTCCCAGTCTCTCTCACCCTGATCCCTTCCTCCCATACTAAATTCCCCCCCAGCTTCCAAACATGTTTAAATTTCCTTCCGAACCCCAGCCCGTTGTTTGAAAATTTGTTTATGAGGGAGGGTGGTTTTAGTATTGGGGTGGCAGGGGTTAATCTGCTAGCGATCCCAGGCGCCCTTCCAAAACATCACAAAGCACGGCCAACAGATGCTCAGCACGTCTTAGCCACGCTGCACAAGTGTTTCAGACGCTTTCTTAACCGTTTTAGCTTCATCTCTGGCTTCAAGCAGCCACGCCTAGCTGTTTACGGCGAGGCCCTCCAAGTCTACGCCATGCTTTGTGTTTGGAGCGTTTCTGGGCAAGAGCTGGCCGCAGTGCCCACAGGTGACGCGATCGAAGACGTGATCGGCTTGAAACGCCACTTGCGAAGCCAGCATGGCTTCCCAGTCTGCCTTCAACAGCTCCTACAGGCTGGCCGCTGCTTGAGGGATTGTGATCCTCTAGTTGGGCCCGTTGACCTGCAACTGGTGCTGTTAGCCGCCTTCAGCCCAAAGCAGACGACACAGGCTGAAAACGAGTTTCTGGAGTATGCTGTCGGCACAGGCCACGTGGAAGTGGGCCGTGCTCTGCTGGCAGCTGGTGTTCACCCGGACTCGTGTTACAAGAGGTCCGGCGTGTCCGGCGAGACCGCTCTCATTCGCGCATCTCGAAACGGCCGCGTCGAGATTGCACGCTTGCTGCTGGATGCTGGTGCCGACGCGAACTTGAGGGACATAAGACGCGCGACGGCTCTCATGTACGCATCTTCCGAAGGCAAGGTCGAGACTGTACGTTTGCTGCTTGACGTTGGTGCCGACAAGAACTTGCGGGACAATGACGTTGGGACCGCTCTCACGCGCGCATCTAAAATGGGCCATGTCGAGATTGCACGCTTGCTGCTGGACGCTGGTGCCGACATGAACTTGCCGAGCATCTTCGGCACGACGGCTCTCATGTGGGCATCTTCCGCGGGCCACGTCGAGATGGTACGTTTGCTGCTGGACGCTGGTGCCGACAGGAACTGCCAGGATATGTTCGAAGAGACCGCTCTCATGAGCTCATGTCATAGGGGCCACGTCGAGATTGCACGCTTGCTGCTGCATGCTGGTGCCGACACGAACCTGGTTGACAAAAAAGGCAAGACGGCTCTCATGTACGCAGCTTCCCTCGACGATGTCGAGATCGTACGCTTGCTCTTGGAAGTTGGTGCCGACAAGAACTTGCGGGACAAAGACAATCGTACCGCTCTCATGCTCGCATCTGTCAGGGGCCACGTCGACGTTGTATGCTTGCTGAGAGCTAAGGCGGCCAAGCTCGAAAAGCTAGAACGCGAAGCACTCCATTCCAGCACAGCCCTAAACCCTAAACCTTTTTCTAGATAGTCCCGATTATGAACATTAATCCTAAACATCTTACAAGCAAGCTCATAAGAAGCAATAAAACGCCACCAACTTTATAAGCTTTGGGTGGGGGGTCCGGTTTCAAGCGTTTGGCGGGTCAAGGGCTTTTTGAGGAGGGGTTGGTTTGGGAATTGGGCTGAGGGTGGTGGTTGTTGCTTGAGTTTCGGTCTTGGACATGGGGTTAGTCAGCCTTACTTTGACTACGAACACAATCCCCAATGCTAGACTTTAGGGGTTTAGGGTTTAAGGTTATACACGCATGATCGCCCAAGACAGTTTAAGGGTTCAGGAGCTTTCGGGTTTCGGGCTACAGTGAACCTTAGTGGCCCTGACAACCCTTAGCAAGATTTCGGGAACATGCATAATCCCTGAGAAACCCTACAGAAACCCTGGGAAACTCTCAGAAAATGGAAGAAGAAAGCCTCCGGTTTAGGGTTGGTTGAGGTTCTTCAAGCTTTGCAGGTTCTCTGAGTGGAGTTCAGGTGTTCGGTCTAGCGTTTACTCCCTAAACCCTGAACCCTAAACCCTAAACCCCAAACCCCAAACCCAAAACCCTAAACCCTTTCCTCTTCACCGGGCGCGTGTTTGCACCGGTCGCCAGACCACGCTGTGGCCGACGAGGAGTTCCGGCCGGGGGGCTCAACGCAGGGGCCTTGAAAATACTTAGGGTTTAGGATTTAGTGTTTAGAGTTTAGGGTTTAGGGTTTTCCCAGTTTGGGGGTTTCCGAAACTTGGGGTACCTTATTGTGATCCCTTATGATAACGGAACCCTACTATTTTTTGGGATATACATTCGGGGTCCCTTGTTTTTCGTAAACCCCCACATGGGTTTAGGGTTTACGGATTAGGGTCTAGGGACAGCAAGAATTACGGATTGTTATCAGGTTTTGTCAGGCGCAGCGTAGTCCAGGTGCGAGTTCATGTTTTGTGCTACTTTACGGTTTGGGGCTTGGGGTGCAACAGGTCAGGTATGGGCTTTCTGAGAGCTAGCACCCTCCCTTGCTCTCAGACACATGCGAGCTCAAGAGGCCAAGTCTTTCTTCCAAACAAGGTCGAGGCAGGGTTCGGTTGGGCCTTTTGTCGAAGTCCCCCTAGAACCCCCTAATACCTGAACCCTCAGCCCCTAACCCGTAAACCCTAAGCCCTCTAGTGGTTTCATTCCTTGACGAAGTCTTTCAGCGCCTGCCACAGTCGAACTCAACAGAGATTCTGGGCCGACTTTGCCAAGACCAGGACGTAAACATCCCGCAAACACTCTCTCAAACAAATCTGCAAATGGGCAAACAACAAATTTTCTCAAGCCCCTCAAGATTTCCTTTCAAACAACTAAAGCCCCTCAGAAACCATTTACAAACAAAAAAGAAAGAGACAAAGAAAAAGGAAGAAAAGGCCTTCCCTACATCCCCAAGCCGCCACGGCCCAGGCCTCACCAACGAGCTGGGAGCCCCGCTGGCGCTGGCCGAGGTGTGGGCTTGGGTTTAGAGCTTAGGGTTAGGGCTGAGGGTTTAGGGTTTAGGGGGTATAGGGTCCAGGGTTCAGGGTTTAGAGTTGAGGGTTAGGGTTGAGGGTTTAGGGCTCAAGGTTCAGGGTGTAGGGTTGAGAATTTGGGAACTTGGGGTTAGGGGGTCCAGGGCCTCTCTTTTCTTCGGTTTCTTTTTGTATTTTATTATATATGTTTTTTTTGTTTTTTTTTTGGGGGGGGGGGGGGGGGGGGGGGGGGGGGTGGGAGGGGGGGGGGGGGGGGGTTCGGGTTTGTGGTGTTCGCATAGGTTCATTTGGCTTTGTCGGAGGGACAACGCAGCTAAGCAAACTAATCTGCCAAATGTTGCTCTGCTTCCCTAAAGCCCCAAAACCTTCAACCCCGGACCCTAAGCCCTGAAAGTTGAGATGTTGAAAGTTGGGATGTCCCCCTTTATACTAACAGTCTTTCATAGGTATTAGAGTACCCCTAAACCCTAAACCCTAAACCCTCATAATCCCTATTAAGGACTGCTAGTATAACGGGGAAACATCCCAACCTGAAAGGTTCAGGCCTCAGCCTTGACATGGACTTACTGGTTCTAAAGGAGGTTTAGGGTTTAGGGTTTAGGGTTTAGGGTTTAGGGTTTAGGGTTTAGGGTTTAGGGTTTAGGGCTGGTTCTCTTGGTACCCCACATTCCCCCTGTTTCTTGATGAAGTGCCGTGCCAGCAAGTGGATTCGGGAGCTCCACGGTTTCAGGACATCTCACACATTGAGGGAAAAGCAAGGATCGACTTGGAGTTTAGGGTTTAGGGTTTAGGGTTTAGGGTTTAGGGTTTAGGGTTTAGGGTTTAGGGTTTAGGGTTTAGGGTTTAGGGCGGTTTCAGGGCTTCAGGGTCCAGGGCGCAGGGTTTCGGGGCTAGTTTTTTGGGCTTGAGACTTCTCGGAAAAAATGAAGGCAGGCCCCCTTCAGATGGCGCTTGTTTTTCTACTCCGAGGCGCCTTTCTAGGCCCGAGACATCTTTCTGGGGCCACCCCGCCTCCTTCACATTGAACATTGCCGTTACCATTGCCGTTGACGGGAGGGTCGCGGGATGTAGTACGTGTATCCTTTAAGGGACGCTAGTAGGGTTGATCTACTTCATGTCTAACAACTACCAAGGCCCCCGATCCTCCTCAGCTAAAAGCGGCCGTGGGGCCTGTGCGAGAGCCCAGCCCAGCACCCCAAAAGTGGCTTTTGGGTTCCAATTTGGGATGTTCCCCCCTTATACGAACAGTCCTCAATACGGATTACAGTATCCCTATTAAAATCCCGATGAAGAAGTGTTATTCGCGGGGGAACATCCCAAGTTACAATGGCCAGTGGAAACCCTAAACCCTAAAAATAAAACTCCGAAGCCCCCCGCAAAAAGAGGAACTTTATGAAACCCTTCGAAACCCTTGGAAACCGTTAAAAATCTTTGAAAACCCTTTAGAACACTAAGAACTCGATGTCCAAGAGGTTTTAAAAACCCTTAGAAGCACCGTAGAAACCCTCTCAAAACCTGCCTGAAGGTTCACGGGTAGTTATTTATATGTAGAGTTATAAGAAGGTTATAAGAAACCCTAAACCCTAAACCCTGTGTCCCAGAGGCCCTGGCCTCTGAGTCCCTGCTGAGCGACTGGGCCGCGGCAGGGCTCCGGCGCGCTGCGTGCGCCGCAAGCAACGGGGGTGGGGGGGGCTGGGGGTGGGGGGGGGCACACAGAGGGGGGCTGTGACACCCCGCAGCCCTGCAAGGGCTTAAATTGAGGGATTCAGGGTTCTAGATTTCGGGTTTAATTAGGGTTGGGTTTAGGGCTTAGGGTTTAGGGTTTGGAGTTTAGTGCTTGAAGGTCCGAATTGTTGAGCCCTAGACCCTGGTTTTGGTTTCGGGTTTCGGGATTCGGGGGCCCCAAGCCCTGAGAATCCTCAGGGTCTCTTCAGTGAAAGGCATCGGGCTTTTAGGGCTTACGGCTTACGGTTTAGGGAACCCTAAACACACAGAAATAGGGTGGGGGGAGGGCACTTGGGGGGGGCTTTTGGGCTAAGAGCTTTGGGGTTTGGGGTTTAGAGTTTGCCTATCTGGAGCACAAGGAGTTTGTTTGGGGCTCTTTGAGGTTTAGGGCTTTGGCTTAAAGGCTGCCCAGCTCGTAGGCTTTCTGGTGCTTCTTGCGCGGCACTGACAAAACCCCCAAACCCATGGCCAGGATCCAGGGCTCAAGTCTTGGGCAGGGGGCGGGGCAGGGGGTTTTAGGGTTTTAGGGTTTTAGGGTTCTAGGGTTTTAGGGTTTTAGGGTTTTAGGGTTTTAGGGTTTTAGGGTTTTAGGGTTTTAGGGTTTTAGGGTTTTAGGGTTTTAGGGTTTTAGGGTTTTAGGGAGGCGGGGAGTTGCGAATTTTAGAATTGATCGTGCCCCATTGGCTGTGGAATTTGGGGTGCTGGAGGTCTGGCTCTGGAACACCTGGGGGCATGGCCTTTTACAAGGGTGCAAGCAAAGGAGTCTTTTGGGCCTTTTTCTTCTGCAGGTCGGCCTTTTAGACTGACTTCGCCAATACTTGAACTTTAAGCTTTTTGGGTTTCCTTGTTTAGTAGGAAGAATAAAGTTGAACCTTTTTTCCCCTTGAAGCAGATCTCTGACACTCAGGCCCTTCCTCAGGGCTTAGGACCTTGTGCGCAAAAAATTGTCGCCCTGATTTCGTAGAAGTCATAAGGTTGAAGTAGGAAAGACACCTTGCACAACAGGATTGCTTATGCCAGGGTATCCAACAGCGCGAAAGCAACCCTCCGCCTCTTGTTTGTTCCAGAGTAGGAGAGGCGTGTGCACGTGGACATGGTTGGGCACTTGAAGGTTCATGGGTAGTCATAAGTAGGGTTATAATAGGGTTTAGGGGTTAGGGTTTAGGGTTTAGGGTTATAAGTAGGGTTATAAGTGCCCGTATTAAGGTTGTAATATGGCCTACCGCACTTGTAACCTTACTTAGAACTACCCATGAACCTTCAGGTAAGGATCTGTACCCCGTCAGATCCCGGAGTTTGGGATTTGCTGAGCCCCCCTAAACCCTAAACCCTCATGTCGTATCCTGATTAGTGTGGACCCCTTCAATAATGAAAAGTTTTCAAAAAAACACTTCAGGGGACCAAAAAAAGGCCGCCCCCCTACTATAATGAAAAGTTTTTCGGGCATGGTTGTCGGAAGAGAGGCTGCGAACTGTGAGCTTAATTACTTGAGCTGAGCTTGGGGGGGGCCCGGGGCCGAAAATTCGTTTGGGGGGTCCGTTTTTTTGTTACTATTGCGGGGGTGGATTTAGTTTGGGGGGGCGGGGGGGGGGGGGGGGGGGGGGGCCCACACTAATCAGGAGACCACATTAAACCCTAAAACCTAAACCCTAAACCCTAAGCCCTGTATTAGGGGAGTTTGGGATTTCCTGAGCAAGGGCTCCTTCTTGAGGTACCCCGCTGTGCTGCGGCTCAGGAGCTTGCTGTCCCAACCCCCGGGATCAGCAGGGAGGCGTGCTGGGTTTAGGGTTTAGGGTTTAGGGTTTAGGGTTTAGGGTTTAGGGTTTAGGGTTTAGGAGGGAGGCATGGCCTTGGCAGCGGTCTCTCATGAAGGGCTGGTTCTGAGTAGGGAAGGAGTAATATGAGGGCCCTCTTTGATTTCTTAAAGGGTTTTTGCAGGGCACTTATGATATTTAGGGTGCAGGGTTTTGGCGAAACTGCTAGGTGCCCCATGATGCGATGAGCATTCCGAAGGGTTTAGGGTTTAGGGTTTAGGGTTTAGGGCTTCGGGAAGAGTGCGTTGGGCAGCTTAGTTGACACGGTACGGTGTGGGTATCGGGTTGCACGGTTTAGGGTTTCGGGCTTGTGTCAACTTGCATTCTCCGATTTGACCTTGTCTCTTGCGAAGCCAAAGCAGTTGCTCATGAACCGTCTTAACGGTTCTTTACAATCGTAATCCCTGCATACAAGCTCCGAGGAAAGAATTAGGCTTGAAGGATCTGCGTTAACGGAGTGGGTAGTAGCCCCCGATCTTGCTGATTCTGTCCCCAAGTACCTCTTGAGGCTTTCCCTCAAGTTTTCCAGGTACCTGCATCTTCACTCCCCAACCCTGCTAGCTTCCGCGAGTTCAGGGCTTTAGGTGGCGAACTCCATAAGTGCTCCTCTTGATTGTCTGCGGGTAGCCTGTTGGTGATTTTTGTGACCTTCCAGGCTACTTGGGTGGGGGTTCTAAGCCCTAAACCAAAAGTCTTTGAGCTCAGAGTGATGCCAGCGGCTCAATGCGGTGAAAGGGAAGGCACCAATCTTCATGGGCATGTCGGCTCAAAAGATGCTGGACACTGATCAGCTCAAAGAGTTTCACTGAAGGCTATGTTGCATATTCACAGGATGTCGGGTGAGCTGACGACTCTGCCGGCGGAAGAAGTGTCCAGCGTGAGGGGAGTGAAGAGACGCTTGCAGGAGCTGCATGACCTGCCTCCGCGCTTCAGGCAGAGGCTCCTTGTCCAGGGCTCCACTCAGAATCTCGATGATGACTACGAGCTCGGCTCAGCAGGACACCTGGAACTTGTCATGCTTCCTCTGTCTAGCCCTTCCAACAAACAAATGACCGAGCTCATAAATGCGGCCGGAAGAGGCTCAGTGCAAGAGGCGGGCGTTTCCGGGATGACTGTCATAAAGCAGATGTTGTTGGAAGCCATGAGAATACTCGTTCTTGTCACGTGTCTATCTTACCACAGCAACTACAACAAAGTCTTTCAGCATCCCAAGCACTGCCATGGCATTCCTCATCGTCAGCACCATCATCTTCATTATCACCACCACCATCACCATCACCATCATCGCCGGCGTCATCACTCAACAGATTGCTTAAAACCCTCAACCCTCAACAATCGTAATCAAGGATGACTGAACTTCTGTGAGGAAGTCGTTTCACCGCTCATGCTGGAAGATAAATGAAGTTCATGCGCTATCTTCGTTCGCTTGTAATTTCATATGTTCACAGGCTTTTAGTAGGTTTCGTTCATGCTAAGATTTCAACACGATGCCGATAAAGCTGTAGATTAGGAATCTTTCAATTTCCAATGTTTTGAAGCTTAGAAAGGTGTGCAACACCGGCCTCATACATTACATACTGTTCTAGCCCTGTTTGCAGGTTCATTTCATGCACTCATTCACTTGTTCATTCACTTTAGTTCACCCACCTGTTATCTTCTTACACGGGCGCATTCACGGTTCGTTCATGCTTCCGGTGACGGCCCCAACGCTCCCCCTACCACACAGCTTGGAGGTCGAGTCCATGCTGCATCTGCCGCTGGACCCAAACGTGGCCGCACCTTTGGGACAAGAATGAATCGTAAAACCCTGAACATGATCAAGAACCGTTTCGGCTTGCGGGGGGCGCTCAGGCTTACGGATACAAGAGAAACCTGAAGGGCTCATGACCCAGATATGTGTTAAGGATGTCTGAGTTTAAGGGATGAATTCCGCATGAGGTTTCAGATTCAACCGTTTAGTCCCCGACGAAGCTTCATGCAGTCCCTAAGGTAGCTGGCCGCACGCCTCTGTTAGCAGCAGCTGAGCTGGGCCATATTGACGTCCTACGCTTGCTGCTAGAGGCCGGTGCCGAGAAGGATGTGGCCGGCTGGAATGGCCTCACAGCCCTGATGATGGCAGCTATGAATGGCCATGTTGAAGTCGTGCGTTTGCTGGTAGTGGCCGGAGCCGAGAAGGATGTGGTCGGCCGGAGGGGCTTCACAGCCCTGATGTTTGCAGCTTCGCAGGGCCATGTTGAAGTCCTGCGTATACTGCTCGAGGCCGGAGCCGACAAGGATGTGGCCGGCCGGAATGGCCTCACAGCCCTGATGCTTGCGGCTGGGCTTGGCCGTGTTGAAGCCATGCGTATACTGCTCGAGGCCGGTGCCAAGAAGGATGCAGCGCAGGAGAATGGCGCAACAGCCCTGATGATGGCAGCTGGGCAGGGCCATGTTGAAGTCCTGCGTTTATTGTTGGAGGCCCGTGCCGACAAGGAGGCCGAACTTGAAGGGAATGGCTTCACAGCTCTGATGATGGCAGCTAAGCAGGGTCAAGTTGAAATCGTACGATTGCTGCTAGAGGCCGGTGCCAAGAAGGACGTGGCCGACAGCAGTGGCTCCACAGCCCTGATGATGGCAGCTTCGCTTGGCCACGTAGAAATCGTGCGTTTGCTGGAGAGCAGCCCTGATCGGGGCAGCAGCAAACGTTAAGCCGAGAATCGCGTACAACCGAAATGATGCCTTGGTTTCGGAGGTTTCACGGGTTTATGCGCAACGGCTACACCTTGCTTTGTGGCGCTTTGTCGGGTCGCGAAGGATACCCCTCCATTAATAAGCCCTCCTAAACGATAATTGTTTCAGAGCATGCTATGCTAGGACCCGAAGTAGCCCCGTATTCCCTTGTCAGAAGGTTTAGAGGGTCCCTGATAATCCCCCTTAAAACAACAACGGCACCCTCGTTTATACCTAGGTTGCTCTTGGGTTGTGTGTTTTAAATGACAACCGGCAGTGTTCCTATGCCCTTAAGCCTAGCTCAGGGACAGATAGGGATGCCACCCTATACCTCATTTGGAGGTTCATGGTACTTATTAACCCCCTTAAGTGCCCCAATATGGCTATAAGTACAGTTAGAAGTACAGTTATCATTGGTTAATAAGTACCCCTAAACTCTCAACCCTATTGGCTAATATGTACCATGAACCTCCAAGCAACCTTTGCGAGCAACGACCTCCCTGAAGCCTCACATCCCGAAATCCGACACCCCAGAGGTTGAGTGACTGCTTGGATTGAAGAGGGTTCGAGCCAGGCTTATGTGTGGTAGAATGAGTTGCGGTTTAGGGTTTAGGGTTTAGGGTTTAGGGGGTAGATATATACACACATATATATATGTACAAGAAATTAGTTGGATGTTCATATTTATTCATAGAGAACAGTTGGGGCTGAGCATCTTGCCTTTCTTTGAAGGATTTGGGCTACTTGTTTTGGGCTCAGGGTTTCCTATGCTCTCTCGTTCTCTCTTCAGACGCCACTATCCTCCAAAAGGCCTTGACGATTGCAACCCAAAGTTTTGCAAGCCGCGGAGTTCTCGAAGCTGGGGAGGCAAAGGATTTAGGATTTAGAGTTTAAGAATGAGGGTTTGGGGTTTAAGTTGCTTCATGGAAAGTAAACCGCTATCAGCTGGTAAACCCCTAAACCTTAAACCCTAGACTGCATATCGCGGTTTAGTACACCTTCATGAATGCTGCACCTCAAAACGGGCGTTCCTTCAAAAAAAGCAGGCACAGGCGCGGCATGAAAACCAGGGTTTGGCGAGTCATTTTTGTTGCGGAAGTTGTAGCTTGTTAGTCATGTTTCATCTACTCGTTCCGTTTATTCTCGTGTACTTTCGTAGAGCATGTACGAGAACATGTCCAACAACATCCATTCGAAAAGAACTTAAGCCAACAAGTACAAATACATACTACTTTGGAGGATCTATTTCTGAGTATAACAAGGGAAGCGCGACAAGTATATTCATAAAGAGGTGAAGAAACATATTGAGCGGAAGTCTGCAAATTGTGTCTTTCGTATTTAACTTATTTGGTGCAGCCTTTAAGGATCGTTTATTGGGCCACAGGCAGAACACTATTTTTCGATTTAGCGTGAAGAACTCTATGTTTTGCTTTTATTTGGGGGGGGGGGGGGGGGGGGGGGGGTGGGCCACTTTTTTGCCATTGGCCTTTTAAAATGCATGCACTAAAAGAAGCATGTAATACAGGCCCCGTGTAAACGCCCGGACAAAAAGTACATAAAGTGTATTGTATTTATGTGCCCGTGTTCGGAAGCCCTAAGCTCCAAACCTAGGTGCTTCTGGCAGGGTGTCCAAGGGCGTTCATGTTCTTTCAGTCGGCAAATCAATACCTGGTGTCTTGAGAATCTCTTACAAGCAGGAAGTCAAACAAATGAACTCGTCGAATGACATCATAGAAATAAGCGGAGGAAAGCAGTCCCTTAGGCATCAGCTTGGGTTGGAAACCGGGGGCATTCGACACTTATTATCCGTTTTGCGTGGCCCTTGTTTCAACAATGTTATTGAATGAATCTCCGGGTCCAGAGATAACTCTTTCAACGGCCCGGGCATTTCATTGACTGAGTGCGAAAGGAGAGAGCACATGCCCCAAAAGATCCCATAAAATGAATTCAAAAACACAAGTGTGATGTTGAGTTCTTTCAGGGTTTTTAGACACAAATTATATTATCATCGTAGGTGTGGGAACACATCTCATTATTCGCCCACGGTTTACATTGAAAATATGGTTTCTTGCCAGCAGAAATTAGTCGCAAGACACCCAGTGTAAACGCAACCCCAAACCCCAAACCCCAAACCCCAAACCCCAAACCCCAAACCCTAACCCTAAACCCCAAACCCTAAACCCTAAACCCTGAACGCCCGAATGCCCGCGAGGCCTCTGCACGACAGTGCCCTGGAGCAGCAGAACTCCCTTGGCCCAGATGCAAAGCCTGGGGAGGGATGGAGGGGTTTAGGGTTTAGGGTTTAGGATAAAGAGTTTTTTGAGTTTCGGGTTGAGGGCTGATCTCAACTATGACGTTTCAGGGTTTCCTGTCTTGGGCTCCGTTCAGGCTTTTGGGATTTCGGGGGTTTAGGGTTTTGGGTTGAGGGTTTAGGGTTTAGACGGGTTCAAGCTCTAAACACTAAGCGGTGGACAGTTTGGAGTGGGGGGTTCGCCCGAACCCTAAACTTCATTTGAGGTAGGTTCTCCTCAAGCCCTGCGCCTTGGAAGTGGCCATTCTACCCTAACCCTAAGTCCTACACCCTGCAAGTAGACCCTGAAGCTTCAAACAGCGTCGCAGATCATGGGTTCCCCTACCCCTAGGTTCCTCCCTAAATAGCCGTAATTGTGGGGAACTTGGGGGGCGGGTAGTGTAGAGGGGGGTAGTAGGGGAACCCATGAAAGGATGGCTAGGAGGAGCACTCCCTCCCCATCATTTGCCAGAAGCGGGGCGACCGAAACTCTGAACTCTAGGCCCTTCGCCTTAACATCTTGACCCTAGGACCCCTGTTTAGGGTTTAGGGTTTAGGGTTTAGGGTTTAGGGTTTAGGGTCTTTAAAACTCGGACATGAAGAAGGCGGTCTTTTTGGGCATGAGCCATTTTTGGAGGGACCCGGGACTAGTGATTCCTGGCTTCGCAGGTCGGGCTTAAAGGGTTGTAGGGTTTAGGGTTTAGGGCTTAGGGTTTAGGGTTTAGGGGCTGAGGATGTTTCGGGTTCGGGCTTTACGGTTCATGGCTTGGGTCTCTACCGCAGCCTGCGTCAGTTGCGTAGCCCAAGTTTGTAAAGATACACCAGGGAGTGGGAAACCCAGTACCAACATAGTAGCCATGAGAGTCATGGTACTGACCATAGCGACAATTGCAATGACATGAGCGAAGGCAAAGAAATAGCATTCAGGGTCAAAGCCACCATAGGAGTATCTTTAGCCTGATAATCAGAACGAGTATCGCAATCAGAGGAGTGATTGCAAAAGTTCCAGTAATGGTGATCATTGCTTGGTAACTGAAACAACAGTGACCGTCGAAAACTGCAGCAGTATTAAAACAATAGTACTTGTAGCAGCTTGTAGCACCAGCAACGCTCAAGACATACTTGCATGTATCCTAGTAGTAGAGTAGGTAACCTTTAACCTTTTGGGGTAATCTCATCCCCTTATAATCCCAAAGGTTAACCTTTAGTTCCCCAGGTTACTGGACATCGTGGATACCTTTGCGATCCCACTGTTCGCCGAGATACTTGAGAGTTCTCGCATGCCTAGAGCATATCAGAATTGGGGGTTTCCGAAATGAGGGGCACCTATTGGAGAAGTGGTCCTTATTATAAGGGAATCCTACGTTTTAAGGGGACTACATGAGGCAAATGAGCCATGTGGATGCTTCATACCAGCTGGGGACCCAAGAAAGCGTCGTGACATCGGGCACCTTGGGCGGGGACGGAGCCAGCCCCTCCTTCCTCGAGCGACCCCGTCATCGAAGGCGCTCCATACAGAAGCTCTTGTTCGTGCTGGAAGAGAAATACTTGAAGCAGCAGCTGCTTCCACAGCCGGAAGAGCAACAAAGTTGGTCACAGAAGGTTGTGTGCAGCTGGAAGTTTCGGTGGCTGGTCTTTGCGGTAATCTTCTTGAACATGGTTGTAATCGCTGTAGTGGAGGGCCTCTGGGACTACCACGAGATTGAGGCCGTGACCTTGACTGTTGAGCGAGTTGCCCTTTTCTTTTACATCATCGAGTGGGTCATTCGGGTGCATGCCGGTCAGCTGCGTACTCACGCAGCACGGCTTCTGTTGGATCTTGCGCTGATCCTCACAGGCATGATGGCTCTCCTAGTCCCGAATGACTTGTGTTTCGATTACATATGCACAACTCTTCAAAAGTACATGCTCACGATTCGTCTACTTCGGTTGCTCAAGCTCATGCACCTTTCGAAGGAAGGAAGATACTTCAATGCCATCTGGGTTCTCCTGGACGACATGATCTATGCAGGACCAAGCTTTGTCGGCATTACTGTCTTCATTCTAATCGTCATGGCAATCTTTGCCGGCGTTCTGAACACGGTGCTTGGCCAAGACCGAGAGCTCTTGGCGGATCCTGAGTTGGCTGAACTTGTGCTCCAAAAGCTCCTCGGAGGTTTCAGAGCACACGTTCTCTTGCTGATCTTTGCTGCTTTGAAACCTTAAGAAAGAGCTGAACTCCTTGTTTGTTTCGTGTTCCAAGAAGCTTTAAGAGGTTTAGCTCCTTTCCCATGGCGCTGCTCTCACTGGTGCAGTTTGTGTCGGGCGACGGCCTGGCAGAGCTGTACTACCCGCTGATCGTTGCAAAGCCTGAGCTGGCACTGCTGTTTGCACCCCTCCTGATGATCGTCACTGTCGGCCTCATGGGCCTCGTGCCCTTAATCCTCTTTGAAAACAAGGACATCCAGGAGAAGCGGAAGCAGATTGAAAGGAGGGACATGTTTAGGAAGACCTGCGATGACATAGAGAAGACTTTGATGAAGGACGGGGACGCCCAAGTAAACCGAGACAAGATTCAAAAGATGGACTTGCGCCTGGGAGACAGCGAGTCCAGGTTGGAGTTGTTTGAGATTCTTGGCAGCCCAGTGGTGCCCTTTTCCCTTTTCTTTGGTTCAAGGGGGACCCTGGCAAAGTAACCAACCTAAAAAACGGGTACCCGTTGATTTGAATATGGTTACTGTGCCAGCAAGGATATTGGCCAGGACGCTGCACCACGATTCCGAGCAAGCGTCGTTGCCGGTGGAAGAGTTCATCGAAGCTCTGATGGGCCTTGTGGTACACGAGGAGCCCCTCTCCACCATAGAGACGCTTGCGCTGCTCAGGGGGCTAAGCAGAAGGATGGGTACCTTGGAAGAGAGCTGTCAGGAGATGCGGGGAGCGATAGGCGGGTTGAACGACAAGATGACCAGAATGCAGGAGTCCATCGACAATCTTGCAGCTGCAGTCTCAGTTGGCTTCCGGGTGAGGATCTGAAGCCGCCAGACCCGCGTCGGGACGATATGTCATTCTTGTTCTTGCTCTTATCGTTGCAATGACTTTGTTTCATTCATGCCCTCAAAACGATATGACTATGTCTCTGTCATTCTTGTTCTTGCTCTTATCGTTGCAATGACATCATCGCATGTATGCCCTCGAGTGGGCCTCCTGAACCAGGCTGCAAACGCAGCGCTGGGGGAAGGCCGCTTCTTGGGGCTCCGCAACCTCTGCCCTGTCAGACGAAGCTGTGGGGTAGACACAATCCGAGTGCTTCCTGCCATTCTGGCTCCAACCCTGAACCCCAAATCCCCAAAGCCCATTGCGATCAAAACCCTAAACCCTAAACCCTAAACCCTAAACCCTAACACCACAGCTCCGGGCTCTGAGGCGGGCCTCTCACGCAGCAGACCCTCGTGGATTTCCAGCTGCTCGACTGAACTCTGGCAGGTAGGTTGGGACTGCTACTCAGTAGCTGAGTGAGCAGCACACTTTACACTTTTTGGGGATACTATAATCCCCTATAGAACTCAAAGTGTACACTTTTCTTGGGGGCTTATGAACTCAGCAACTAAGGTTAAAGGGATTTCAGGGGATGTTAGGGCTTTGGGGATCTTAGGGCTTGGGGGCCAAGGGTACTTTGGGTCGAGGGTGTGATTTTTTTGGGTGGGGAGGGGGGGTGTTCGGGGTTTAGGTTTCTGTTTTCTTTTTGTTGGGGGGGAGGGGCTAGGGTGTAGGGTGAGCAGATGTTTCACGCCCCGTACCTCTGAAGCCCATGAACCTGAAACTTTACAACCCGGGAGTCTCCAGAACTGCCCTGGAGACCCCGAACCCCTATATGCCCCATTCAACCCTAAGCAGGCTAAGCCCTGGACACCCCAAAAAAAGGGAGAATCCCGAAACGCGGAACCTTTAAACCCGTAGAAGTATGTAAAAGGTGGGGAGCGGGCAGAAAGGGAGGAGAGGGAGGGGCTTGGGAAAAAAAAACCTAAACCCTAAACCCTAAACCCTAAACCCTAAACCCTAAACCCTAAACCCTAAACCCTAAACCCTAAACCCTAAACCCTAAACCCTAAGCCGTGCCCTTTCTCTGAGGCTGAGCCGAGAACTTCAAGGTGGGGATGAGCCTCTGAGCCTTCCAGGATCAAGGGTTCATGGGTTCCCCTGCTACCCTACCCCGCCCCCTAGTTTGGGCCTTAGGGTTTAGGGTTTAGGATTTAGGGTTTAGGGTTTAGGGTTTAGGGTCTAGGGTTTAGGGTTTAGGGTTTAGGGGTACATGTTAACCTAGCTAACTGTACGTTGAGCTGTACTTTTACCCTTACGGGGCGCTTATAAGGGGCTTCTAAGTGGGCTGAAAGTGCAGTTAGAGTGGGTTGATAAGTACCCTGAGCCTCCAAGTAGGGATTCACAGTAAACTCCAAACAGTTGGGAGCATCCTTATCCCCGTGCCCCAAAAGGCTAGGATGCCCAGTAGTACCCTTTTTCCCTTTTTTGGGGCTTTAGGTTCCCTTTTAGCAAAAAGGGCACCCTTTTTGAGCCTAGGTTACTGGGCAGCCTAGAAGGTATAGTGTTTACTGTAAGGCTTTTAAGGGTTGTAGGGCTTGGGGTGTAGGATTGTGGTTTAGGGTGCAGGTGTTGAGTTTTAAGGGCTTCCATTCAGGGTGCTATCAAGGAGTTTTTTGGGGAGCAAGGCGCTTAAGGGCTCAGGGCGTTGAGGCTTGAGGGGCTTGGGCACTTTGGGTTAGAACTTTATTGGGAGGAGCAAGAGACTTCAGCCCCTAAACCCCGAAGAGCACAACGAAAGCAAAAGAGACCGCGAGAGACCAAACCCAAGCGAAGAAGGTGCAAGTTAACAACGCCCGGGCCCTCGAGCCCTTCAACTTCTCAAGCCTTCCACGCAACACTAAACCCCTAAACCCCTAAACCCTGAACCCCTAGGCCCCTAGAAAACCCCCTAGCCCTAATACCAATCCAAAGGGAGCCCTATAGAGAATCACAAAAGGTTGCATCCTTTAGCTCAACACCCCATGTATAGTGAGTAGTGTTGTTTCCTTATCATGGTAGCTTGGTTTACCCAGAGAGAAACGGAACAACCCCCTTAATGAAGGAATACACCATATATAAGCGGAGGGTCCTTGGCATCACAGAGTGATGTCCTGAAGTAAGGGCTGTCTGGGTAAGTTCCTTAAGAGCCTCGCAGCTTTTGGCATCAGGTCCCTGGATCAGTTTCGCGTGGCTCCCTCAGGTCACCTTAAACTCTAAACCCTGGGGCTCAGGGCTTTAAGGGTTTGGCGGTTGGCTGGGACCTGGCAGGGCACACAGGGAAGGTTACAGTAGGTGAAGAAGGATACAACTGGGTTTAAGGGATAGTGTTTAGGGCACTATTTGTGCACATGGCCCGACTGGCTTTGGGTCATGGGATGGCGGATTCCACATGCTCGGGTCTCACTCAGCTCCTGCGGACCTCGGTGGATTTTCAGCGTAAAACTCGAAAGGAACTAGATGGAAACGCGAACTCTTACATAGTCCGCTACACGGTGGAAGCAGGGGCTTCGCGTAACTAGTGACAATGGCATGGCTTGCCAAACCAAAGCCTGCTGGCCTGGGCGTTTCTGCTGTCACATCTGTGAAGCACTTGATGTTTGATCCTTTGTTTCCATGGGACTGAACTACGGTCTCAGCTCCATGGGGGGGGGGTATGGCTTCGATCCCAGGCAAATTGCACTGTTGTGATGTGCGGGTTGTCATGCTGGGGGGTTTTTCTGACCGACACAAGGCCCCCAGATGATCTACAAGTGGTCAGTCGTCCAGCTCAACTACAGTACAACAGGTGCCGCTGCCGTAAACCCTACACTGTCAGCGCGACTTTAATTGAACATACGATATTTCTGTTAGTGAATTTCACTGGGGTCCAAGTACAGGAAGGTAAACCCCCCTAAGCCCTAATTCCTAAACCCTGAACCCTGAACCCTAAACCCCAAACCCTCGACCCTCAACTCTAAGCCCAAACCCCTGCGGCTCTGTTTCCTGGCTTCAGCCGGCGGATGCCCAGGCAAGCCAGCTGCCGCAGGCAGCTGCAGCTTTTAGGCCGAGCCTGGTTTGGGGTTTAGGGTTTAGGGTTTGGGGGTTTGGGGTTTAGGGTTTGGGGGTTTAGGGTTTAGGGTTTGGGATTTAGGGTTTAGGGTTTGGGGTTTAGGGTTTGGGGGTTTGGGGTTTGGGGTTTCGGGTTTCGGGTTTCGGGTTGCGGGGGACTTGGGGTCGAATCCCCTCTCTTTGTCCGGGTTCCAGAACCCTCAACCCTAGAACCCTAAAACCCGCTGCCCGAAACCCCCAAACCTAAACCCCCAACACCCTAAAAACCCCTCAACCCCCAACCCTGGTTTCCCTAAAACCCCTAAACCCTAAACCCTAAACCCTAAACCCTAAACCGAGCCCTCCCTCAGCCGGGGCGCCCCATGAGAACCCTCCCAGGGCTTTAAGGCTTCCCCAGCACTACAATCTTGAAGCTCCATGTCCGACACCCCGAGGCCCCAACCCCAACCCCCCAACGTTCAGGGCTTCAGGGTTTTAATGTTTAGGGCTTAGGGTTTTAGGGTTTCAGGGTTTTAAGGTTTTAGGGTTTTAGGGATTTAGGGTTTTTGTGTTTAGGGTCTAGGGGGTCTTGTTGCAGCGGAGGTCTTGAGCACTACGGCCCCGACCCGGAGGCCCAACACCTGCCCGGGGCCCTGGAGCGGTCGAAGGGCCTCCGAGACTTTGGGGTTTAGGCCTTTTGTTCAGGGTTTCGGGGTTTTTTTCACGCGGTTTCGGGCGGTTTTTAATTAGGGCGGGTGGCGTCTGGGGGGGGGGGAGGGTTCCTAGGGGTTGGGGTTTAGCCGTCAAGTAGAACCCTACAACCCCAAGACCCTCCGAACCTGAAACCCAGGGTTGTGTGTTCGGTGAGGCGTCTCGAGGGCTGCTTGAGTTGCATGTTTGGAGAGGTCGTGGCAGCTGAAGCTCACTTAAGGCATAGGAGTGTCCGCATTGAAGAGTTCCAGCAGTCAAAGCATGACTGGGTTTTAGGGCTTGTGGGGTTCAGGGCTTAAAGTCCCTCATAGCGTTCTCCATTGCCTTCTGCTCTAAGATTTCACGCCTTCAACCCCCAAAACCCTAAACCGCCTGAACGAGAAAACCCCTTGTGCCCCAAGACACCCCAAGGCCCCGTCAAGCCCTCCAAGCCCAATCCTACACCCGAAGCCACCGGAAGCCCTGAATCCCAAACCCCAAACCCTGAGTCGAAACCCTCAAACCCCCCAGAACACCCCCAAACATCCCCAAAACACCCCCAAAACACCTCCAAAACACCCTCAGCTACCCCCCCCCTCCTAAAAAAAATCAAAACAGCACAATGAGCTGCCTTCAGCCCCGCCTTCGGCGCCTCCGCCCAGTGCGCCGGCCGTGCGGCGGCGTTGGCGGCAGTTGGGGGGGAGGGGGGAGGAGGGTGTTGTTGAAAATTAGGGTTCATCGGGTTTCTCGGATTCATAGGATTTAGAGGGTCTACAGGACGCTGTAGAGGATTTAGTCGGGTTTGGCAGGGGTCAGGTTTTTGTAGCGTTTGGTGTTCTTGGCAAAGCACCCGGAACCTCAGAGACTGGGGGGCTCGCCTGCTCGGAATGCAACCGAGCTGGGTTTGAGGTTTAGGGTTTAGGGTGTGGGGTTTAGGGTTTAGGGTTTAGGCTCAAATTTCAGTGTTCAGGGCTTAGGGTTTCGGGAAAAGGGCTCAGGGCTTCTTGGGAGTTTGCGAAAAAGGGGACCCCGAATAATTTACCCCAAATAGTAGGATTCCCTTACAAAAGGACCCCTAATAAGGTACCCCCTAATTTCCGAAAGCCCCTAAAACCCTGAACCCTCAACCCTAACCCCAAAAACCCTAAACCCTCAAAACCTAAACCCTAAACCCTAAACCCCCTAAACCCAAAAACCCTAAACCCTCAAAACCTCAAAACCTAAACCCAAAAACCCTAAACCCTCAAAACCTAGACCCTAAAACCAAGCCCTACCTCTACACGGCCCCTGAGGCCGGCAGCAGTCTGGAGAGCGGCGAGACAGGAAGCCCAAAGAAGGCACACCGACAGAAGCAGGGTTTTTTTGGGATTAGGGTTTAGGGTTTAGGGTTTAGGGCTCCAAAGGTGCAACGGGGCCGAACACCGCAAGAGGCGCAACTGGCAGAGGCGAGAGCGCGATTCGACACCACCCACGAGCCCAGAAGGGTTTAGGGTTGAGGGTTGAGGGTTTAGGGTTTAGGGTTTATAAACCCTACTTCATGTAAGTAGAAAGCTGTGCCATGAACTGTGGAAAAGCACCATGTTCGTCCAAAATGTGGCCACCGCTACCGTAGATCAATCTAACACCCGTTACTCTGAAAGAGTTCTGACAGTAAGAACCGCTGGTATTGGCACACTGTTTGGTGAACAAGATAAAATATTTGCAAAGCGGAGCGACAAGGTCATACACCATTGTGATATTGCTGATTCACAACTCACGGTTTGATGTTGCGACATGTCGAGCTTAATGTGCAATTTTCGTGCATCGTTGAAACGAATGGTAATACAGAAGTTGGCCCTGACGGTAGCTTTTTTTGGCAGTTTTTGGCCCTTCCAGGCTATTCGGGTAGGGTTCCAGACCCTAAACCCTCAAGTCTTTGAGTTCAGCGTGATGGTGGCTGATGCTCAGGGAGTCGGGATTGGGGCCCTTGGGGCGTTTGAGGGCTGTGTGTCCCTAAGCCCTAACCCGTAAGCACCTTAGCCCGAGCGATTTTCCTTGCCAGCAGCCCAATGCGGTAGAAGGGAAGGCACCCATCTTCATGGGCATGTCGGCTCAAAAGAGGCTGGACACTGATCAGCTCAAAAAGTTTCACTGGAGACTATGTTGCATATCCGTAGGATGTCGGGTGAGGAGCTGACGACTCTGCCTGCGGAGGAAGTGTCCGACGTGAGGGGAGTGAAGAGACGCTTGCAAGAGCTGCATGGCCTGCCGCCGCGCTTCAGGCAGAGGCTCCTTGTCCCGGGCTCCAAGCAGAAACTCGATGATGACTACAAGCTCGACTCAGGAGGACACGTGGAACTTGTCGTGCTTCCTGTCTCCAGCCCTTCCAAGCAACAACTGGACGAGCTCGTAGACGCGGCCGGACGAGGCTCAGTGCAAGAGGCGGGCGTTTCGAGGATGAGGGTCATTAAGCGGATGATGTTGGAAGCCATGAGAATACTCGTTCTTGTCACGTGTCGATCTTACAACAGCAACTACAACAAAGTCTTCCAGCATCACAAGCACTGCCATTGCTTTCATCCTCGTCATCACCATCATCTTCATTGCCAACATCACCATTATTTCCCAAACCCTCAACCTTCAACCCTAAGCCTTCTGGCTGTGGTGGTAGGACGGTTTAGGGCTTAGGGCTTAGGGCTTAGGGCTTAGGGCTTGGGGCTTAGGGCTTAGGGCTTTAGGGCTTAGGGCTTAGGACCCCATGGTGAAGGCCCCCAACGCTGCCTAGACACCCGAAGCTGGAGGTCGATGAGATGCTGCATCTGCCCCTGGACCCAAACGCGGCCGCACCTTTGGGACAAGATGAATCGTAAAACCGTAAACCCCGAAGCCCTAAGCACCAAACCCTCAAAACCAGGATACATAGATATTCTATGTAGTACCATTGCGAGTTTCTGCAGAGTTGTTTGTCTAGGTTGGGCAAGAGCCCTTAAAAGTGTGTTTGTTCTTTTTGGTTCTTTTGGGGGCAAGGGGCTCAGGGTTCTAGGTTTGGGGGATTCAGGTTTGCGGATACAAGTGAGAACTAAACGAGCTTACGGTCCAGATTTGTCTAAAGCACGAGTTTAAGGGATTAAGTGCAGTGTCATATAAGGTTTCAGATTCAGCTGTTTAGTCCCCGAGGAAGCTTCATGCAGTCCCCAAGGTAGCTGGCCAGACGCCGCTGCTTCACGCAGCTTGGCAAGGCCATGTTGAAGCCCTACGTTTGCTACTGGAGGCCGGTGCCGACAAGGATTTTTCCGACCAGACTGGCCTCACAGCACTGATGCTTGCTGCTTCGCATGGCCATGTTGAAGTCTTGCGTGTGCTGCTGGAGGCCGGAGCGGAGAAGGACGTGGCGGACGAGAATCGCACCACAGCCCTGATGATGGCAGCTGAGCAAGGCCATGCCGAAATCGTTCGTTTGCTGCTGAAGGCCGGCGCCAGGACGGAAGCGGCCGACAGCCAGGAGGATGTGGCGGACCAGAATCGCACAACAGCCCTGATGAGGGCAGCTGAGCAAGGCCATGTCGAAATCGTTCGTTTGCTGTTGAAGGCCGGCGCCAGGACGGACGTGGCCGACAGACCGAACCGCACAGCCCTGATGATGGCAGCTGGGCAGGGCCATGTTGAGGTCCTGAGTTTGCTGCTGGAGTCCGGTGCCAAAACGAACGTGGCCGGCAACTATGGCACCACCGCCCTGATGATGGCGGCTCAACAGGGCCACGCTGACGTCCTACGTTTGCTCCTGGAGGCTGGTGCCGAGAAGGACATGATGGACCACGGTAGCGACACAGCCCTGAAGTTGGCATACGAGCAGGGCCACGCTCACATCATGCGGTTGCTGGTGATGGCCGGTGCCAACAGGGACCTCGGCTGGGAACTGCGTTGCTGAATGAAATGAGATCTTGTAGAAGAGATAAAAGCTCCGTGTGACAATCTTTTGTTCCCAGAAATACACATTAACCTTGATTTGGAGATACAAAGAAAGGAAAGCATCCAAATGATTGCTTGACTGACGATTCTCATTGGATAGGAGAGAGATTCTTTGAGAGTATGAATCTCTCTGAGTCGATACCGTTGGGCGCAGATGTCGCTCGCAGCTTAATTGACCTACCCCTCGCACATGTGCCACAAGCTTACTGTTGGTTAGGGAATGGGAGAATGAGGTACCCTATACAATCCCTTTCCCTCAATCCCTAATCCCTGCTAACCAACAGTAAGCAAGTACCCGAAGGGAACAAAACCCGAGGACCCCAAATCAATCCCCGCGCCAAGATATTCGGGAGACGAGCCTTTGGAGTTGAAGCTTTCGAGAGCCTTGGGGGTTTAGGGTTTAGGCTTTAGGGTTTAGGGTTTAGGGTTTAGGGTTTAGGGTTCAGGGTTCAGGGTTTAGGGTTTAGGGTTTTGGGAGCATCGAGCCCCAAAAAGCCCTCAAACCCTGTCCTGCCAGGCCTCCCTCGCAACACTGTGCCCCGTCTACGTGGACCACGACCGGTCGAGCCATGCGGAGAGGCGACGAGGGGTTTAGGGGTCCCGAACTTAATGGGTTTAGAGATTCCTTGGTATGTTCGGTTCCTTTAAGGGGTTTAGGACTTAGGTGGTTTACCCGACCCCCAAAAGAAGCCTTTTTTGGAGGGTGTTTGGTTCCCCCTTCAACCCATTTTTAAACCAGGCGCGTCGGGCCCGGCCCATACTCGTACATGCATGGAGACTAGAAACTAGCTAGGCCCTTGGGATATTTCTATTTCCCTTTTGGGGTTTAAGAGGATCATATTTCAGGAGCATTTTTCAGAGGGCTTTAAGGGCCATCGTAGAAAAGCTTGTTTTGAGAGTGTCTTTAGCTGGTCCCTCAGCTTGGGGAAATCGGCGCGACAGTCCCTTTCCCTCCCGCCCTGCTGAACCTACTACGCCATAGGGTTGGGGGAACTAAAGCGCCCACAGCTCAAACCTGAAGCCCCCGAATTTTGGTAGCAGCTTTTTTGGTGCGAGGGAGCGCGAAACCCGAAACTCTCGTTAACTGGTAACCCGAAAGCCGGGTGCTCCTCGTCTCTCACGTGGTTCGCTTCAGAGCTTCGCTACGGGGCGTTTGTGGTTGAGGATTTAGGGTTTAAAGGGTTTAGGGGTTAGGGTTTAGGGTTTATCGCTCAGGGTGTTTACCCAGTAAGCGCAAGACCTTTAATTTCGGCACGACGTCGATGCTACTGTTGTGGTTGTGGGAATAGATGGCTCCTCAACCATAACAACCACAACAACCCTACCACACCTCCGTGCGTGATCAGTAACTAAGTAGTGCTGGGCTCCCTGAGCCCCCAATTTAGGCCCTGAAGCAAAGAAGCGCAACGAATCCTTTCCAGACTTCACAATAAGGTATCTGCACCTTAAACCAAGGTGTGAAAACCCTAAACCCCAAACCCTAAACCCTAAACCCAAACCCCAAACCCTAAAAACCCTTCAAGTCCCGAGAGCTTGGCAAAGCTGCCAGGCACCTCCTCCTCGACCTCCTCCGGCGCGAGCAGGAAAGGATGCAAAAGCCATCGGCGATCGCTTCATCTAGGGTTTTAGGGTTTTGGGTTTCAGGGCATGGGCCTGCCCCGCACTTGTAGCAAGAGCCCTTTCACAACGACACATCTCTTGCAACTACTCTAAAGGAGAGCACCTAAACCCAGAAATGGACCCTATTCGCTAGGCCCACGCGCTTACCCCAAAGCCAGTTGCACCGTAGCCTTGCAGGAGAACATCAGCCCAGAAAGAAACATGATTCAGGGCTTAGGGGTTTACAGGGTGTAGGGTTTATAGGGTTTGGGGTTTAGGGGTTTATGGGGTTTAGAGGGTTTTCAGGGTTTGTAGGTTTTAGGGTTTAGATTGTTTATGGGGTTTAGAAGTTTTAGAGGGTTCATGGGGTTTATGGGGTTTATGGGGTTTGTAGGTTTACAGGGTTTATCGGGTTTATAGGGTTTGTAAGGTTCATGGGGATTATAGGGTTTATGGGGTTTCTCGGGTTTTGCAGGGCTGATAGGGGTTTATCGGGTTTGTGGGGCTATAGGGTTTACAGGGTTTACAGGGTTTTTGGGGTTTGCAGGGTTCGCCATTTTTCTTGGTAGCAATCTTAGCAGGTTCCACATTCTGACACCTGGAGTATGGTCCCCTTGCCAAGGCAATCCTGCGGCCCAAACCCCCAGACATGTAGAGAGCGCAGGCAGCTTGAGCTCGCCGAGCTTTAGGGTTTAGGGATTCTTTTGGCAGCAGGTGAGGTACTCACAGGCATAGCAAGGTATGGTTTTCCGAAAAGACCCCAGTACTACGTAATGGATGTCGCAAACCCCCACGCCGGCTGCCACTCATTTGGCTTCGAGGTTTTCCGAAGTTTCCCGCTATCTCAAGAGAGGAAGAACCCTTGCAGTATAGGGCTTTAGGGGTAGTAGCACGTAGTCGAAGTGTCTTTTCTGTTCTTGCAGCAGGATACTAAGGGATCACCCCCCAACAACAACGGCTTGAATCCATGCCAGCTGCCAGCCAGTCTACACCTCTAAAGCCCTGAACCCTAACCAAGTGCGTTTAGGTTTAGGGGTTAGGGTTTAGGGTGTAGTATCACCATTTCACGGATTTCTATGCCACTTGGAAGCAAGGCAAGGGTTCCGAATCGGTAGCTCTTGAAGATGCTTGGGGCTGCAGGTCTTTTAGCCTGTGGGTTTCTAACTCGTGTGGAGTTCGTGCTTCTTTCTACCCAAGGTCCCTCTCAGGTGGGCTTCGGAGGTTTGGTTTTGCAGGGCCGTTTGGGCTCCCGAACCCTCAACCCTAAAACCCTAGAACCCGCAGCCCGAAACCCCCAAACCCCTCAACCCCCAACCCTAAACCCCTCAACCCGCAACCCTAAAAACCTTAAACCCTAAACCGAGCCTTACCTCAGCCGGGGCACTCCATGAGAACCCTCCCAGGGCTTCACGGTCTCCCAAGCCCTACAATCTCAAAGCTCCATGTCCGAAACCCCGAGACCCCAACCCGAACCCCCCACCGTTCAGGGTTTTAGGATTTTAGGGTTTTAGGGTTTAGGGTTTTTGGGCTTTTGGGTTTTGGGGTTTTAGGGTTTCGGGATGCAGCGGAGGTCTTGAGCACTGCGGCCCCGACCCGGAGGCCCCACACCTGTCTGGGGCTTCGGGCCTTGCGGCCGAACGGTCTCCGAGGGTTTAGGGGTTCAGGGTTTTTTCACCTGGTTTCGGGTGGAGATTGTGTACGAGGGTTTGGCGGGTGGCTTTGGGGGTGTCCTAGGGCTTGGGGGCGTTTACAGTTCTCGGATTGGGGCCTCAGGGCTTCGGGGTTTGAGGAGGTAAGGTTAGGGGCACGCTTCGGCCTAAGCTGGACCAGAGCAAAGTCTTTTTGGGGCATAGGGGGTCCGTGGCGGCTTGGAAGGTTTGAGATGCGTCTTTCCTCTTTTTTCTTTGTCAAGGGCCTTTTGCATCACCGCGCAACGGTAGCGATACCTTTACTTAGGGTTTTCGGCTTGGAGTTTTTGGGTTTTGGAACTTTAGGGCTTTTGTGGGCCAGAAGGAGCTCCGTAAGCTCGACCTCGACCCTACACAGTCCACGTCTTCCACGCTCACCACACCGGGGCACTCCAGACCTTAGAACCCCACTTGAAGGCTGATGGGTAGTGGTCGGCTATAGGTAAAGTAGCCCATATGACAACTTGGGCTAAGGCGCCGATAACCCTGCTTCTAAGCACCCATGAACCTTCAAGTAGAAGCGTAGAACACTCGAACCCTCCTAAACCTCAGAACCCTTAATTTTGTGGGCGGTTAGGCGTCTCGAGGGCTGCGTGGCAGCTCAAGCTCAGCTAAGGCATAGAGCCTGCCTCTGAAGAGTTCCGGCACTCAAAGCATGACTGGGTTTGAGGGCTTGTGGGGTTTAGGGTTCGGGGTTTAGGCTTTAAGGTTTAGGGTCCCTCATAGAGCTCTCCTGTGTCTTCTGATCTAAGATTTCACACCTTGAACCCCTCAACCCTAAACCGCCTGAACGCCCACACCTTGCACCCCAAGACACCCAAGGCTCCATAAAGTCCTCATCCGTAAATGGCCATGAAGGAGATATCTCTAAGAATCCTGCGACCAATCCTACACCCGAAGCCACCCTAAGCCGTAAGCCCGAAGCACCCTGAGTCGACAAACGCCCCCAAACACCCCCAAACAACCCCCAAACACCCTCAAAACACCCCCAAAACACCCTCAAGACACCCTCAGACAATCCCCAAACACCCCCAAAAACAACCCCCAAACACACTCAACCCCAGCACAATGACCTGCCTTCAGCCCCTTGGCGGCAGTTGGGGGGGGAGGGGGGGAGGGGGCTATTGAAAATTAGGGTTCATCGGGTTCATAGGATTCATGGGGTTTCCAGGGTGTGCAGCATTTTACAGGGGCTTGTGGGGCTTGGCAGAGTTCAGGTGTTAGTTACGTTTGGTGTTCTTGGCAAAGCTCCCGAAACCTCAGAGACTGGGGGGCTCGCCGGCCCGGGAATGCAAGCAACCGAGCTAGGTTTAGGGTCCAGCCTTAAATTTCAGTGTTTCGGGCTTCAGGGAATCAGGTAAAGGGCTCAGGGCTTTTTGGGAGTTTACGAAAATGAGGGACCCCGAATATATACCCCCAAGTAGTAGGATCCCCTTCTAACAAGGACCCGAATAAGGCACCCGCGAATTTCGGAAACCCCCTAAACTCGATGCAATCCTGGTGGAAAGGCCTTCAGCGGTCTGGAGAGCGGCGAGTCAGGAAGTCCAAAGAAGGCACACCAAGAGAAGCCAGGGTTTTTGGGTTTGGGGTTTTAGGGTTTAGGGTTCGGGTTTGGAGCTGAGGGTCCCCTGAGCTCACTGAATCGACCACAGCATCTTCAAGCCCAACACAACCGTAAGCCCTCACCCCGCAAGCCTACGCCCACACCCTTTGTTTATCCCTTGACATGACCAAGATTCCTATCTTGAAGGCACACCAAGAGAAGCACGGTTTGGGCTTAGGGTTTAGGGTTTAGAGTTCGCGTTTAGGGTTTAGGGTTCAGGGGATGTAAGTAGAAAGCTGTGCCATGAACTGTGGAACAGCACAATGTGCATCGCGACCACCGCTCGCGCAGATGTTTGGGGAGAAAGATAAAATATTTGCCAAAGCGGAGCGACAGGGTCATACACCATTGTGATATTTCTGATTCAGAATTCACGGATTGATGTTGCGACATGTCGAGCTTAATGTGCAATTTTCGTGCATCGTTGAAACGAATGGTAATACAGAAGTTGGCCCTGACGGTAGCTTTTTTTGGCAGTTTTTGGCCCTTCCGGGCTATTCGGGTAGGGTTCCAGACCCTAAACCCTCAAGTCTTTGAGTTCAGCGTGATGGTGGCTGATGCTCAGGGAGTCGGGATTGGGGCCCTTGGGGCGTTTGAGGGCTGTGTGTCCCTAAGCCCTGACCCGTAAGCACCTTAGCCCGAGCGATTTTCCTTGCCAGCAGCCCAATGCGGTAGGAGGGAAGGCACCCATCTTCATGGGCATGTCGGCTCAAAAGTTGCTGGACACTGATCAGCTCAAAGAGTTTCACTGGAGACTATGTTGCATATCCGTAGGATGTCGGGTGAGGAGCTGACGGCTCTGCCTGCGGAGGAAGTGTCCGACGTGAGGGGAGTGAAGAGACGCTTGCAAGAGCTGCATGGCCTGCCGCCGCGCTTCAGGCAGAGGCTCCTTGTCCCGGGCTCCAAGCAGAAACTCGATGATGACTACAAGCTCGACTCAGGAGGACACGTGGAACTTGTCGTGCTTCCTGTCTCCAGCCCTTCCAAGCAACAACTGGACGAGCTCGTAGACGCGGCCGGACGAGGCTCAGTGCAAGAGGCGGGCGTTTCCAGGATGACTGTCATTAAGCAGATGTTGTTGGAAGCCATGAGAATACTCGTTCTTGTCACGTCTCTATCTTACAACAGCAACTACAACAAAGTCTTCCAGCATCACAAGCACTGCCATTGCTTTCCTCTTCGTCATCACCATCATCTTCATTGCCAACATCACCATTATTTCCCAAACCCTCAACCTTGAACCCTAAGCCTTCTGGCTGTGGTGGTAGGACGGTTCAGGGCTTAGGGCTTAGGGCTTGGGGCTTGGGGCTTTAGGGCTTAGGGTTTAGGACCCCATGGTGAAGGCCCCCAACGCTGCCTAAGCACCCGAAGCTTGGAGGTCGATGACATGCTGCATCTGCCCCTGGACCCAAACGCGGCCGCACCTTTGGGACAAGAATGAATCGCAAATCCCTAAAACCCGAAGCCCCGAAACTCCAAACCCTCAAAACCAGGATAAGTAGATATTATATATAGTATCATTATGAATCCTGAATTTCTGCAAAGCTGTTTGTCTAAACAGGTTGGGCAAGAACCCTAAAGGAGCTTACCGTCCAGATATGTTTAAAGCACGAGTGTAAGGGATTGAGTGCAGTGTCGTATGAGGTTTCAGAATTCAGCTGTTTAGTCCCCGAGGAAGTTTGTTGCAGTCCCCAAGGTAGCTGGCCAGACGCCGCTGTTGCAAGCAGCTGAGCACGGCCATGCTGAAGTCCTGCGTTTGCTGCTGGAGGCCGGTGCCGACAAGAATATGGCCACCCAGACTGGCCTCACAGCCCTAATGCTTGCAGCTTCGAACGGCCATGTTGAAGTCCTGCGTGTACTGCTGGAGGCCGGTGCCGAGAAGGACCTGACCGATGAGCCTGGCTTCACAGCCCTGATGAAGGCAGCTGAGCAGGGCCATGTCGAAATCGTTCGTTTGCTGCTGGAGGCCGGAGCCGACAAGGACTTTGCCGATCAGACTGGCCTCACAGCACTGATGGTTGCTGCTCCGCATGGCCATGTCGAAATCGTTCGTTTGCTGCTGGAGGCCGGCGGTGCAGTGCCGCACACCCTCTCGGCAGGGCCACGTCGAAATCGTACGTTTGCTGCTGGAAGCCGGAGCCTTCATTAACATCGCCTACTATGAGGAAACAGCCCTGAAGCTCGCCGCTCTGGGGGGCCACCGTGAAATCACACGTTACTGGTGGAGAACGGTGCGGCCCAGGACTTGGGCATTGACCAGGCCATCTGGTGACGCAACCAGACAAGGACATTGTCGACATGCCTGGACAAATAGTTCTAATCAGGACAGCTGCAAATGTGATGTTAATGTTTTAACCGAGAGTGGTGTGCAGCAGAATGATGCTTGGGTCTCAGGGTTTGCCGGTTTACTCTATAATAAGTATAGAATACTCTTATACGATAAATTCTTCACAAGGTAATATGTTTTTGCTGATAAGTTTGGTGATGGTCGTCATTTTTACAGAAGATAAGAGAGTTGGCAGATGAAGAGAGAATCGATTGTGCTTGCTTTGAGAATTCGAAATGCTTGTACAAAAATGGGCCTACGAAAAGATTTTCATGTTTGGCTTATTAGTATGCGTTTCGTTTAAACATCTATTCGTTTCGCTATCGTCATTACACTTGAAATAATCGTTCGTTCTCTATATGATACTAATATTCGTTGTGCACGTAATAAGAATATTTCTAATATGACCGCAAATAACCTGTTTTGTTCCGCTCCTTATATTCGACTGAATTACTGAATGACATGATATCTTGTAGAAGAGATACGAGCTCTGTGCGAGAATCTTATGTTCCCAGAAATACAAATTCAGTTGGCTTCGGAGCCACAAAGAAAAGAAAGCATCCAAAGGATTGCTTGATTGACTATAGAGATGATGTTCTCACATAGGTATGGGGCATATATATATATATATATCTATCTATCTATCTATCTATCTATATATATATATATATATCTTATCTTCTTTCGAATTGCGCGGTATTTTCGAATTCATATTCTCTTCTCCTTTCTCGTTTGGAAGCTGAGTGCCCATCGGGAATTGGGGTGGTGGTGGGGTTTTGATTACACGTTCGGGCCTCGGATTCTGAAAAACGATTGCGCACTTTTTCAACTCGAAAGTCCCTCTTGCATATTTCTTTGAGAGTACACCTTTGGGCGCAGATGTCGCTCGCAGCTTCATTGACCTACCCCTCCCACGTTTTCGAAAGCAATTTCGGAATCCCAAGGCTCCCAGAGTCATGCGTTCAAAATCCCACCACCACCCCCAATTCACCGGGAATCCAGCCCCAACGTGCCACAAGCTTACTGTTGGTTACGTGGTTAGGGAATGGGGGGAATGAGGTACCCTATATAATCCCTTTCCCTCAATCCCTGCTAACCCACAGCCCCTTAGTACCCGAAGGGAACAAAAGCCGGGAACCCCAAATCAATCCCCCCGCCAAGATCCCTAGGAGACGAGCCTTTGGAGTTGAAGCTTTCGAGAGCCTTGGGGGGTTAGGGTTTAGGGTTTAGGGTTTAGGGTTTAGGGTTTAGGGTTTGGGGTTTAGGGTCTTTTAGGGTTTAGGGTTCAGGGTTTAGGGTTTAGGGTTTTGGGAGCATCGAGCCCCAAAAAGCCCTCAAACCCTGTCCTGCCAGGCCTCCCTCGCAACGCTGTGCCCCGTCTACGTGGACCACGACCGGTCGAGCCATGCGGAGAGGCGACGAGAGGTTTAGGGGGTCCGGAACGGAATGGGTTTTGAGATTCCATGGTATGTTCGGTTCCCTTAAGGGTTTAGGGCTTAGGTGGTTTAGCCACGACCCCCAAAAGAGGCCTTGTTTGGAGGGTGCTTGGTTCCCTTATCAACCCAATTTCAAACGCTGCGAGTCGGCCCCGGCCCATGCATGTATGGAGACTAAAAACTCGCTAGGCCCTCGGGATATTTTGTATTTTCCCTTATTGTGTTTAAGAGGAAAGGTTGTTTTGAGAGTGTTCCCTCAGCTTGGGGAAATGGGCGCGACAGTCCCTTTCCCCCCCGCCCCCACCTCCACGCCCCTGCTGAACCTAGTACGCTTTAGGGACCTTAACCCCCCGAATTTCCGGTGGCAGCTTGCTTTTGGGGGCGAGGGAGCGCGAAACCCGAAGCTCTCGTTAACTGGTAACCTCGAAAGCCAGGATGCTCCTCGTCGTCTCAGGCTTTTTGGGTGGTTTACTTCAGAGCTTCGCTCAGGGCGATTCTGATTTGCTTACTGTTGGCTGGTAGGGAATGGGCGCATGAGGTACCCCATACAATCCCTTAAGGGGCATATTATAGGGCCCTCATTCCCTGATTCCCCGCTACCCAAAAGTAAGTTTAGGGTGTTAACCCAGAAAGCGCAAGACCTTAAATTTCGGCAGGAGGTCCATGCTACCGTTGTGGGTGTGGGTATAGATGGCTCCTCAACCATAACGACCACAACAACCCTACCACACCTCCGTGCGTGATCAGTGACTGAGTAGTGCTGGGCTCCCTCAGCCCCCAATTTCAGCCCTGAAGCAAAGAAACGAAACGAATGCTTTCCAGACTGCAAAAAGGCATCTGCACATCAAACCAAAATGTGAAGCCCCTAAACCCAAACCCTAAACCCTAATAAACCCTTGAAGTCCCGAAAGCTTGGCAAAGCTGCCAGGCACCTCCTCCTCGACCTCCTCCGGCGCCAGCAGAAACAGATTCAAAAGCTTTTGGGGTTAGGGTTGAGGGTTTAGGGTTTCGGGATAAATCTCTGAGGGCACTCTTAATGTACAACTACTCTAAGGAGAGCAACCCTAAACCCTAAACCCTAAACCCTAAACCCTAAACCCTAAACCCTAAACCCAGAAATAGACCCTACTCGCCAGGCCCACGCCCTTCCCCCAAAGCCAACTGCACCGTAGCCTTGCAGGAGAACATCAGCCCAGAAAGAAATAGGATTCAGGGTCTAGTGGGGCTTATAGGATTTAGGGTTTAGGGTTCAGGGTTTAGGGGCTTGTAGGGTTTGGAGGGTTTATAGGGTTTATGGGGTTTAGAGGGTTTATATGGTTTATGGGGTGTATGGGGTTCAGAGGGTTTAGAGGGTTTACGGGGTTTTGGGGGGGTTTCTAGGGTTTATTGGGTTTGTAGGGTTTATGGGATTTATAAGGGTTTATATAGGGTTTATGGGGGTTTATGGGGTTTATACGGTTTATAGGGCTGATAGGGTTTGTTTAGGGTTTTAGGGTGTATCGGGTTTATAGGGTTTGTGGGGTTCATGGGGTTTATTAGGGTTCTCTATTTTGCCTGCGTAGCAATCTTAGCAGGATCCACAGTCTGACACCTGGATTATGTCGCTTGCGGCCCAAACCCCCAGACATGTAGAGAGCGCAGGCAGCTTGAACTCGCCGAGCTTTAGGGTTTAGGGTTTAGGGGTTAGGGGTTAGGGGTTTAGGGTTTAGGGTTTAGGGTTTAGGGTTTAGGGATTCTGTTGGCAGCAGGTGAGATACTCACAGGCATAGCAAGGTATGGTTTTCCGAAAGACCCCAGTACTACGTAGTGGATGTCGCAAACCCCCACGCCGGCTGCCACTCATTTGGCTTCGAGGTTTTTTGAAGTTTCTACCTATCTCAAGAGAGCAAGAACCCTTGCAGTATAGGGCTTTAGGGGTAGTAGCACATAGTCGAAGTGCCTTTTCCGTTCTTGCATGCAGCCTTATACGAAGGGATCACCCCAAAAAAGTCAAGCTTGATTCCATGCCAGCCGCCAGCCAGTCTACACCTCTGAACCCCTGGGTTTAGGGTTTAGGGCTTAGGGCTTAGGGCTTAGGGTGTGGTATCACCATTTCATGTGGCAGCAGCCCCCGTGACATGACATGGGTTTCTATGCCACTTGGAAGCAAGGGTTCCGAATCGGTAGCTCGTGAAGATGCTTGGGCTGCAGGTCCTTTAAACGGTTTAGGGTTTAGGGTTTAGGGTTTAGGGTTTAGGGTTTAGGGTTTAGGGTTTAGGGTTTAGGGTTTAGGGTTTAGGGTTTAGGGTTTAGCTTCTGGGCCTTTAACTCGTTTGGACTTTGGCCAATGGCCCCTTTTCCAAGGAGCGCTTGCTCTGAAAGAATGGGGCACACTAGAACATTGCTCTTTCAGGGCTTATGGGGGTTTAAGGTCCGAACAGATGCTTAAACAGGAAAGCAGTTATCAGTTGCCTGGTTTAAGGCACTGTTCAACCTTCCACTTTCAAGCCGCTACATCTGTACACCAAGCCAAGGCCCAGCACAACGTAAATCCTCTGACCCCTTCTATCAAGCCCGATTCTCGAAAGCCCAAGCCCACAGGCTGAAGTCTCAACCCCAAAACTTTGCAAGCTCCATCCTGCCGTAGACCCCAGGAGTGTGCAAGACCACGACGATGGCAGATCACAAACGTGACTTACGAGAGCACCCCCCCAAGCCTACGAGCCACAACGGCTCTGCACTTCACAAGCCAACAAAGCGACGGCACGATTTCGAGCACGGAATGCGCACGACAGCTAGGCGAGAGAGAGCACCGAGTGGCGAGGGGCATGCGGACGGCCAAGCGGCACAAAAGCATGTCCCGGACACCATATCCTGATGCCGAGCAAGTCATGCAAGAACTCACGGGAAGCAGGAAGGTGCCCCTGAACTAGGCAGCGCGATTTGTCCCGCCTGCGACACCGAAACAACTGGTTCTTTCTTTTTGAAAACAGCCAATGGCTTCAGCAACCCTAAACCCTAAACCTTAAAACGTTCGCCACGCCCCTCGACGGGAGCCGCGCACCAGGTGGGCGCACCACACGTACACCTCATCCTTTGCATCCCCTTCTACTGTCTGGGGAGTAAACTAACGGTTTCCTGGTATGGAATCTCTGTAATGTTCACACACACATCTTTGGAGACCCATGGCAAGCTTAGTAGCTGAGTGAGCACGCTTTACACTTTTAGTATACCATAATGCCCTACAGAACTGAAAGTGCACACTAAAGACTAGGAAAGTGCTTTCTACCCACAAGCCGAAAACCTGAGCAAACAGCGCTCCGTGGCCTAAACCGGGTGCCCAGGACATCCTCGGCGTGAGCCGGGCCGCGCCGCAGGAAGATATTCTCCGTGCCTATCGTGGTCTCAGGGCTGCACCCGAGATTCACAGGGGTTGCGATGATCGGTAGGCAGCAACAAGTTATTAAAAGTCATTGTTGCCTTGCTGAGCTGACCTGTTTGTAAGCATCTTGCCTCACAAAGCCACATCGCGTGAAGACAGAGGAAGAGGCATAACAGGACAGGCGGGTGCAGGTGATAAGGACGCCTTTCTGCTACCAGATGCAAATATCTGCCGACCGCTTGAAGCCTATTTGCATCAAATATTTAGTGGGTTCGTGTGGCGATTGCTTGCTCCTGGATGCATATTGCCGCTAAACAAGTTGGACTTTACAGTTTTTGTTTCTCGGGGGGGGGGGGGGGGAGGGTGGTAGCATTTCATTGCGGGCGTCTGAGATTTGATCGGGAAAAGAATGGAGAAGTCTGGGGCGTTGGCGGTGCAAAAAGCCAAGTGCACGGTTTTGGTGGTGCAGGAAGCGAATGGAACGGTTCTGAGTCGTTCGTGATACAAGCAGCAGATGTAATGATGTTTTGGTAGTGCATCAGCAAGTCAAATGGAATAGGGTTTGGCGGTGCTATGATGGGGTCGCTATCCCGCCTGCTCTTTTTTCCTTGCAAAGCCTAGTCAGGCGGGGTCGTCATCGACAAAGTCACGAGGGTAAGTAGGTGAGACAAGCAAGACTTGTGGAATGTATGTACCCGCGGAGATACACTTCACAGTCTTACGAAATAGCAGGCACGTGCGGTCTGCACAACACGTTTCGTCTATCCGTTAAAATGGGTTCTTAGCCTATGTGAGTTTCGATAAGTTGGTTTTCTCAACACCCTATGCTGGTAATTGGTGCTGTGATCGTATTGTGCGGATGAGGGCTCCCTCTTCAAGCGGGCGTGCATCGTGAACCCAAAAGCCCGAGTCCTAAGCACGCAACCCTCAGCCCTGCCGCTTTGGCTAGTGCCAGCGCGAACATCCCGGAGCTGAGGTCAGGCCTTGAAGCTTTGTCTACGGAAACGCGTCACAGCTCACATAGTTGAAAAGGAACTGGGAGTTTCAGAGTTCAGAAGGAATTGAAGGCCCTCATCTACGGGATACCAGAGGAGACCCACCCAAACCCAGTTTTGAAGAAAACTCCCCAGCTGGAGGCTTCAGGACTTTGTGCGTTTTGGCATCCCTCCCTTGGGCTTCACATTTCTCGTGCTTTGCAGGATCAGAGTCGGTTTCAGGGTTTAGGGTTTAGGGTTTAGGGTTTAGGGTTTAGGGTTTTTAGGGCTGAGAGACTTAGGTTCTAGAGAGGTTCTGGGCACTCTGCAGATTTACGGAGGAGTGGGTGGGGCAGACCAGTGGGGGGGGGTTAGCTTGGTGACCGCTGAGCTAGCATTACAACACAAATCGCAAGTTCTTCGCTACAGCAGTTCGGGTTTGGCCCGAGGTTCAGGGCTTCAGGACGCGGTTGCGGGTGGGGGGCCTCTGTGGTTAAACCCTAAACCCTAAACCCTAAACCCTAAACCCTAAACCCTAAACCCTAAACCCTAAACCCTAAACCCTGTACCTTACTTGCACGGCTCCCTTGCAAGGCGTGCACAAGCGGAGCCCCAGTCGCCTCAAGGAAGTCTGAAATCCATTTCGGGGATCATGGGTATAGGGTTTAGGGTTTAGGGTTTAGGGTTTAGGGTTTATAAACACCTTCATATGGGCTACCTTACTTGTAACCCTACTGATAGCTACCCATGAACCTTCAAGCATCGAATCTTTTGTAGCTCATCCGTCGACTCAACAGACTCTGGCCTTAGGTGCAAAGGGGGTTTAGGGTTCCAGGGCTCAATGCCTGGAGACTCTCGCAGCTTTTCTAAAGAGCCTTGTATGGCCCGAACCTTGAAGGATCAACACCCAGATCCTCGCATGAGACTTTCTTGAGGCTTGAGACTCACATGAGCCACCTTCTCAAGTCTTCTTAACTTCCTAAACCTTTGAGCACAAGTCCTGAATAGAATTACCCACTCAGCCAAGGATATGCTCCCAATCGGCCTGGCCCCTCTAGCGCGGCTCCCGTGGTCGAGGCCGAAATCGCCGTGTAGGTAGCCAGGAATGCTGTCTATTTGCATCAGCACGATGATTATTAGTAGTAGTTTGGGTTTAGGGTTTAGGGTTTAGGGTTTAGGGTTTAGGGTTTAGGGTTTAGGGTTTAGGGTTTAGGGTTTAGGGTTTAGGGTTTAGGGTAGTAGTCGTGGTCGTCAGATGCTTCTTTTAGGAGCGCTTCGGGGCTTAAGTTTCGCACGAGCTTGCGAGTTCGAGGCTTTGGGACGGGAGTCAGCGCTAGGAGTGGAAGGCCTAGGGGGCTGAGGGAGCCGGGCCGTTTGTAGTAAAATTTCGGGACGTCCATGAGAACCCAGGGTTCAGGGACTAGGTACATGGCCGACAGCAGTACGGCTTTGCAGGAGGTACTTAGGAAGGGGTGTATCCTGCACGGGTCAGCACAAAGTAACATGACCGGAGCAGAGACCCTGAAGTGCCATGAACCTTGACTCGAAAGCTCCGACACCCTCAGCCTTACACCCTAAACCCTAAGCCCTTATACCCTAAACCCCCTGAATTCCTAGCCCTCGACTGACCCCGTGGCACAAAAAACCTGCGGACCCTCTTCCGCTCCCTGAGAAATTCGGTTTAGGGTTTAGGGTTCAGGGTTTAGGCTTTAGGGTTTAGGGATTTGTTTCAGGATGTTTCAGGAACCCTCAACAAAGGGAAAAGACCGTTGTCACCATCAGCTGCGACTGTTAGAATCGCACGTTTCCTAAGGTTCCGGACGCAGAGTCTTAGAGCCCCTCAATTCCTAAGCTGCACCAACCGCACAACCCTAAGCTCGTTCAAAAAGAGTCCAAACAAACACCCCGAAAACACCCTAAACCCTAAACCCTAAACCCTCAACCCTAAACGCTACAAAAGCCTAAACTCCCTCTAAAAATTCCCTAAAAGCTCTCTCAACGCCACTCCATATCCAGAGGTTCAGGACATCTTCCCCGCCTGGCGGATCCGCGCGGAGGCCTACGAGACCCTCTCGGATCCGGCAACTGGGCCCTGGGGTTTGTTGGGTTTTGGAGTACAAAACTTTCAGACTTTTGTTGGATGCTGGGTTCCCATTATGGCTACTTATACCTCCAAAGTCGGGTTTGTTGCTTAAGGGTTGAGGGTTTGGCGAAAGAAGGGTTTGGGGTTTCGGGTTTTAGGTTGGTGGTTTCGGGCTTGGGGCTTTGGAGGATGGGACAATACTAAATAATACTAAATAAGCCCGTGAAGCCACGAGACCCTGAAAGCCCGATTGTGGGCCCGCGTGCCAAAGAAGCAGCATGCCGCAAAGCCGAAAGAGTCTCAGATGTACTGGCTTCTCAAGCGTCTCAGGCATCTCCGGCAACTCCAGATTTGTTGCCAGAGCTTTAAGGTTCGGTACCTTGTGTGGACGCCTCACAGGGTAGCCTTTATCCTACTACCCTATACAACTCCCATACACAGAAAAAAATACATATGTTTATACATACATATATATATATATATATATTCTGTATACAAATATGTGTATATGTATGCACACCCTTACAATTGCGAGTCCGGCAAAACTCGAAATTTGAAACCACAACCTTACTCGTACTGCTGCGATGACTTCCACGACTTCTACTGCTACTTCTGGTAGGAGCCGAAGGAGGCCCTCATTCCCTTTTTTTACGGTGTAGGTTCGCTTCTAATCCCCTTAAAACCAAAGAGGGCACCCCCCTTTCTATTCCTAGGCCTGGGTGCAGTCCGCCAGTTGTACTTTTACTCAGGCAAGGCGCAGCCTCTACAACATCAGCCTGGTCCGGTCGGGGTCGGCCGATGGCCTTGCGGACGCGCTGCGCCCTCCCGTTGCACCGTGGCGGCGACTTCGACGAGGGGGCGGAAAGGGGAGGAGGTGGCAGAAGTGGTTGTAGTCAGGAGGAGGGATAAATAGGAGTAGGAGTAAGCCATAAAATATTGGAGGAGCGTATAGGCTAAAAAAAGCTTGTGCTAGCACCGATTCTGTTGGTGGCGAGTACGACAAATGATTGTTTCCATAGCTTTGCTTTTTCGTGATCCTTTCTGTCGAGGATTTTTGGCACCTCTCAACATCCAAAGCTTAAGCGTGGGCCAACCTCCGAGCCTGGCGCCCGAAGCCTGAAAGAGCCCCATCAACCACCCCCCGCCCTTCAATGTGAGATGAGTCGTAAACTCCACGGGGTGTAGGGCTTAGGGCTTGCGTGGTTTAGAGTGCAAGACTCCCACCCGACACCACAATGCACCAAGGGAGCCATCCATGGCCATATGCTTGGCGATCACCCCGTTGAGCTGCTTCATGTGTTGCTCCAGGCAAGCTTACTAGGACCGGGAGTAGGCCCTTCTTTCCTTTTCTTAGGGTTGGGGTTCCCTTATCATCCCCTTAAATGCAGAAAGGGTGCCCTTTTTATTCCAAGGTTACTCCCGGGTCCAGCTTATGATTGGTGGGCTGGGGGTCTGGGGTTCTCGCCGAGGAAGCTATGTAACAGTGAAGCTACCCTTTCAGAAACAAGGGCTTCTTGGGGGCTTCCCAAATGGGGCTCGGGATTTATGTCTGAAGCTTTCCGGGTCTAGCATGTCTCGGTTCATGTGCTCAGGTAAGTTTCGAACTGCGGTGGCCTTTGGATGAATGTTTGGCGTTGGAAGGTTCAAGGTTTAGGGTTTTGGGTTTTGGGTTTTGTGAACAACGTCTGCAAAGTTTGTGTTCCAGGAATTACTTTTCGCGTGCTGGATCTCCGCCCTCAACGTGGTTTTTAGGCTCCTCTATTGGGGATTCAACGCGCCATAGTAAGTTCTGGTACGACATCACAAACATAGCCATGGAAAGGAACTTGCAACGGTGACACATCAGCTCCGAGATCAGAGCCAGCCCAATAAGGTTTAGGGGGCATTCAGGGCAGTTGACTTAAGGTTTGGGCTTCTGAGCGTTGGCCCAGTCGATGATCTCCCAGAAGCAGCAAGGGGCTCCTATCTCGAGCTTTATGGATATATATATATATATATATATATATACTATATATGTATATATATATACAGAGCCTAAGGTGTAAATACCGATGAATGTGGCAGCTCCTCATCAAGTCTCTCTCGTCCCACGAGAACCAATGTCCGCAGCCGCAGAAACCTTACTCCCCGCATGTGCACCGGCGATCGGAAGGAATAGCCATGCGAAGTCCTCCCTCACACCCTAATGTTTCGAAGATGCACAATGAAAGCTACAAAAATAGACTCCGCAGGCAGAGCCTCAGTCCTGGCAGAGCCTGATCTCGGGCCCCTCGGTTTCTGGAGGGCTTTGGACTTGAAGGAGTTTTGGGTTTAAGGCTTAAAGCACTTTGGGTGTTTAGACCCTGCATTTTTAGGGCTGCGGACTGGGGCTTATGGGGGTTTACAGGGCTTGGAAATTACTCAGGTGGCTTTGCCATACATCTCACTACCCCCCCTCCAGCCTTTTTGGGGTTTCGTGTGCTAAGCTCCAATAACTAACTAGAGCTTACCAGCAAGAAAAATCATAGGGCAGGCAGGCACCGAAGCTACCCCAGCCCACGAACCCTTCCTCTTGGATATGACCACCAGCACGTGCCCCACAAGCTCAGTGGAAGAGCAAAGGTTCTAAAGATGGCGGCGCCTACCGACAAAAAGAACTCAGCAGCCAGAAATCACAGAAAGCAATAGAGAACCCGTACTAGTACCTCTGGCTCCTATGAAAGCCTACAACTCACCGACTGGGGCAATTTGGCGTTGAACCTTGTAGTCCACGCTTGGAGGTTTAGGGCTTAGGGTGTAAGGCAGCAGAACTCGACAGAAGCGTAATGCTAGGACAAGCTTTGAAGCAAATAAGTATGCAATGAGTTGCACTTAACCCCTAATTGTAGCACATGCACCGAAAGCCTAAACCTTTCGACCCTGAAATCTGGGGGACCCTGAAGTCTGGGGTGGCAGCTGAGCCTTAGGCTAAATCACTAGTATCCCCCAAGAAAGAAACCCCTACGTAGTCCCAGGTTACACTTGCGAAGCAAATAAGTTAGTCGTCGGCTGAAGCCCACTGTGCTATACTTCCTTATCCAGTTCTTCGCGGGCTACTGTTTGTTCCTGCTTGGGGATTTCTAGGCCTGTAGCCTTCCCCACACCTAAGATCGCAACGACCCTCAACCCAAATACTTTAGCTCTTGTTTGCAAATGGGAGCCAACTCTGAGGCCTACGAAAGAGCCAACTGCAGGGCCTTTTGGACCGCTTGCCGCTGGCCCCACGAGTGCACGAACTGGTCACGAGGGTGGAGGACTTGGAGGGTGCTGCTGGTGATGGTGGTCGTGGTAACGGTAGTAGTTGTAGAAGTAGGAATAGTAGAAGAAAAACCGTATGTAGGATTTACATCGGAAAGATGGGTGTCAGCCACAGCAGAAGTACGTAATAAACCGCATGTCGTGTCACGCGAAAAGGTTCTGGCGGTGTGAACATTGTGAATTGCCCTCTTGTCTCGCTTGCCTCTTTGCTACAATCAAGTCAGAAGGAGACAGATGAGCGCCGCGTAGACTGCCTCTGGAGATCTCAGACGGAATTCCAAGCGGGCATGGAATGGGACAATCTGGTTTTCTACAGTCCGGCGACAAAGGCTCCTGCAGCTGGCGTTTACTTCCACACTGTCATGGTGGAGTTCCAGCGGGTGCTGCATGGGTACATCGTGGACAACCCGACTTGCAGACTGGAGGAAGCTTTGCAGCACGTGGAGAAGCACCTCGCGAGTCGGGGTTTCAGCTGCCCGCTCAAAATGCGGTGCAGGGTCTTGCGAAACGGCAAGAAACTGTGCAGCCCGGCTGTCTCCTGCGTGGCCACACTTCTGGCAATGCGCGATGAGGTCATGCACGCTAGCAACTCAGCCCTGGCTAGGTTGCGACAGAAGTGGGCGCGCCAGTCCAGAGAGCTCGGCGAGCAGAATGCTGCTCGGAGCATGAAGAGATGCTCGCAACTGTGGGGTTTCGTTTTCGCTCACCTGCAGACCTTGTGCTCTGTCCCGCTCGTTCGACGGCGGAAGTTCTGCAAGCAGCCTGAAGACGTGGTGGTGCAAGTGGCGCTGGACAGCCCGTTCTGCCGGACCTTGGGGTCACCGGATGAGCTGGCAAGGCGCTTGGCCACCCCCACAGGCAGGGACTTTCTCGGCACGTTCCTGCTTCACGATGTTGCAAACGACCCGGCGTCCCCCAACCACAAGTTCGCAGCTGGAGCCTGGCAGTGGCTGGAAAACAAAAGGAGGCGGTGGGAGCACCTCGGCCGTAGAATCCGGCACCGTTTGGATGCGTGCTGGGAGTTTTTTGGTTGAAGGGGTGCCGTTTTAGGCGGGCATCTGAGGTCTGGATACGCAAGCCCAAGCACACGGAGCCCACGTTCTCCGCCAATCGAGTATTACAGCGAGTGCTTCATCGACACGCTTTCCCAGACATGTCTTCGCCGGATCTTGTCCTTCGCCCAGCTTCTCAGACTGTAGTATTCGACTCTGCTGTTCCAACCCTAAGCCCTAAACCGCCCCAAGATTCTAAACCCTAAACCCTCCAGCACACAAGAACGCGAAAGTACGATCACAAATTTACTTGCGCGCGAAGGATCTTGGATCTCGCCCGATGCGGAATGGCGAACCGGTCCTTGGCCCGTCAAGTCCGGATGGTTATGAGAGACGGTGTGGCCGTAGATTAGGGCAAGCACTGCTCCTGACATGATGAGCCTAGGAATTTGGATGCGCTTTCAAACCCATGCGTTTGAGTTTCTCTTGTATAAACACTCCGAAATGCTCGTGCGCTTGCTGGGTTGCATGGGTTGGATTCGCTTCCAGATCAAAAGCAGCTTTGTTTCACTCGTTTCGTGGGACCATGGCCCGAGGCAAGGAATATAGAGTGCCCCCATATCTAGGCCCCCATCATACCAGAATCCTTACTTAGTCTAGGAAACGCAAACAAAGGTGCGCGCCTAAATACCCTAAACTCTAAATCCCAAGGACGCGCACGTTGTTCTAGAGGTCCTTCAAAAGAATCGTGTGACCCCTCCCCGCCTGAACAGTCGAAGCTGTTTTTGTGTTTCTTTAAAATGTCCACGGGCTTTATATGATTGTTTTCACAGGGATGTGAGGTTGCACATGAATTGACAAGGGACAGGGAGGCCCGGCAATTGATGTCAAAAGGCTGGCCGCGTGCAATTGCCTTACGACGCCCGAAAGCCTACACCCTACAAGCCTATGCACGTGTTCTGAACCTCTAACAACCGTAAACCTAAACCCCAAACCCGACAAATATGTTGAGAACAGCTCCCTTGTCTTGCGCCTGGGTCACACTCAGCTCCAATCGCGCGTGCGTCTTGCTGTCAAGGCTTTCCACAGTATGAGGGTTTAGTAGGGTTCTAGGGCTCAGGGAAATTGAGCTCCCGACCCCAAACACCAGGCCTTAAATCCTGGACCCTAAGCCCCAAACCCTGAAACGTAAACCCCTGAAGGGTTCTGGTAAACATGTCAGTTCAGCCCTCAATGAACCTCACACCCACGGCTTGAGGTTGAACGTTCGGGTCACCTTGAATTTAATCCTGTAAACTTAGGACCTTCAGCCCAGCAGCCAAACCCTAAGCCTTGTAAGATGTAACCCTGAGCCCGAAACCCTAAGCCAAAAAAAGTCCTGCCCTAAACCTTCAAATTTAGACCTCAACTTGGGGACGAAGCCACAGCCAGCTCCTTGAAAACCTTCGCGGAATCGCAGAGAGCCAAGATAGGTAGCCCAGTGGTACCTCCTTGCCCTTCTTTTTTGAGTTCTGGGTTCCCTGAGAAAGTAACCAACCCCAGCAAGGGTAACCTTATTGTGATTTGGTTACTGAGCTGCCAAGCAAGAATACCCCATAGCGTATGGGAGGGAGGGGGGCGCGGGGGGGGGGTGGTGTATGGTTTAGGGCTTGAGGGCCTGAGGCTTTCCATTCACGATTTATGCACAACACCATAAGGATCCTCCAAATGAAGGGAGTACCTTTCTGAGAATCCCGCAGTGCATCTTTCCTGTCAAGGTGCAGCAGAAGCTGTCACTTTGCTCCGAATGGTTTCGAGCTCAACTCTGAGCTTAGTGTTTAGGGTTTAGGGTTTGGGGTTTAGACTATCACTCCCTTCGTTCGGCGGACGCTTTGATGCAGGCGCTATGCGCGTAGGTCATCAATGTTACGACATCTTCGCTGTTCTTGGCCGAGAGCGTCATTGTCACATTCTCAACCCCATGCCCAAACCCTAAACCCTAAACCCTGAACCGTAAAAACTCTAAACCCTCAACCGGCAACCTAAACCCTCAACCCTGAACCCTGAACCCTAAACCCTAAACCCTAAACCCCAAACCCCAAACCCCAAACCCCAAACCCTAAACCCTAAACCCTAAACCCTAAACCCTAAACCCTAAACCCTAAACCCTAAACCCTAAACCCTAAACCCTAAACCCTAAACCCTAAACCCTAAACCCTAAACCCTAAACCCTAAACCCTAAACCCTAAACCCTAAACCAAACCGGACAACAGTTGTTGGTGAACTTTCCAGAGAGCAGCGGCGAGAGCAGAGGGCCTTCTCACGGGAGGCGCAGGCGGCTTCAGACTCACTTTAAGGTGTGTGTTAGGGCCCTAGACCCTTACGGATCCACTTGAAAGGTTCAAAATTTGCGGATCCCCGATTCTACTTTAGGGTTTAGGGTTTAAGGTTTAGTAGAAATGAGTACCTTAAAGCCTGTCAAGGATCCCGGTGTAAGTGAAGGAGTATTGGGCTCTTTGGGTTGAGGGCAAGATTCGATTCTAGAATTGGGCTGTCTTGGCAGCATGTAGCCCTAAACCCTAAACCTTAACTCCGGGTGATGTTCCATAAGCAGGTTCTAGTGCGTAATAAACACACACAAACTGTTTGTTTATACGGAACATGGCCCATCTGGCTCCCGGATGGAGAAGTGCATTCCTCATGCTAGCTCACGGCCATCGTGGGAAGCTGGTTTCTCACGATCATTTCAACCGGATCCCACTCCTGGCTAGCCCGAAGGGGATCCGGAGGCTCGAAATCCAACAGAAGCATGTCGATGCATTCGCTTGTTTCCAGATGTGAGCGGCGTGTGAAAAAGGTTCGCTTGGCGTGCACAGAACGTGTAGGCTTCGGGTGGGCACTTGGGATCCGAAGATCTGTGATCTGTGAACTTCATTCGCGCATTTCATAATTGTTAAATTGTGCGTGAAACCTCGTTGGCATGATTTGCGTCTCTTCCAACAGGCTAAACTGAGGTATGACAATCTTTTGTGTATTTGGGGGGTGGTTCTTAAGAAGAAAGTAGTTGTGGTTTAACTCTAGGTTGTGGTTTTGTGTGTCCGGTATGGTCCCTGTCACCGCGCTTCAACGACCGAACCAACTCGTTAAATCCTAAACCCTAAACCCTAAACCCTAAACCCTAAACCCTAAACCCTAAACCCTATACCTTGCAGGTGTAGGTGCACGCGACTTGGGGGTTAGGGTTTGGGATGCAGGGTCTCGGATTTAAGGTTTAAGGGGTCAAGACCTTTTTGTTGTAGCCCCCCCCCACATCCCCCACCCTACCTCACCCCCCATAGCGCCCATGAATGCAGTTGAGTGAAGTCCTTGATGTTGCGTGTGACCGTGAAGGTATCAACTGCATGCTTTTGCAGACATCCCAAACCCTTCAGCCCGAAGCCTTAAGCCCCAAACCTCGACCCTTGCACCCAAGACCCTAAACCCTAAACGCGCGGGCTGGCCGCAGCTGGATAAGTGGTACAGAGCCTTGACGTTAAACCATGCCAAACCACAAGCCTTGAAGCCTAAACCCTAAACAGGGTTTAAAAATTAGACTCATTATATTCCGATATCTTGAATTGCTTTCTAGATGGATCTGGAAGTTTTTTCTTCATGTCAGAGAGATTTGTCATGGATTGATGGGACAATCAATATTGGAAAGTCCCACAGTTCATAGACACCCCTAGAGAAGGCGAGGTTTCGGTGTAAGCCCCCGCAACGTTGTCAGCTCATCAAAATTCAGGTCCCTGTCAAAGGGGTGCCCAAAAACATGACGGCCTGAAACAACGTAGCACTGATGGCTCCCGAATCAACGAGGGGCGGGGGGAGGTTAAAATGGGATAGGGTCTAGGGTTGGTTCAGAGTTTGGGGGCGATATCGGAGTTATAGGTCCTCCCTTTTGGAGGTGCCAGGTGTTGGGTACTCCCCCTGCGAAGGTTTGCTTAGGGCTTGTCGCGCCCCTGATAGTTGGCGGTTCTGGTTCTGGGGGTTCGGGCTTTTGTGTTTCTTGCCTAAACCCTAAACCCTAAACCGTCAATGCAAGGCCCTGGTCCCCCACGGCCCTTCATTCACGAGCTCTTCTCGACCCGAAACCCTGAACCCTAAACCCTAAACCCTAGCTCCCGCCCAAGCCCCCAAAGCCTCTGGAAGATGAGAGTTCCATTATCAGGCATCCTTGAGACTTTGCAACAAAGCTTCAAGTTCTAAAGTTTAGGGTTTAGGGTTTAGGGCAGAGGGCTGATAACCTTACGTAGATCCTTTAGGCATGGGTTTCATATTCAGGCAGCCAATATGCGCAGCCACTCAGACTCGAAAACTTATACTTCGAAACTCAAAGAATCCCCCCACCAAGGTTTTTGAGGTATGCAGGATTTAGGGTTTAGGGTTTAGGGTTTAGGGTTTAGGGTTTAGGGTTTAGGGAGCTCGGGTGCTTTCGAAAGTTGAAGCTGGAACCCTTACGCCTGCACACAACATCAGATCAGCAGTGTCAACGGTCCGAAAAAGTCAAACAAGTTCAGCGCGTATTCTATGGCACACCTGCGTGCCATTCTCCACATTGGTCTCGTGTCATGGAGCTACGCCCTCGACGTCGTCAAGGACGATTTCCCCAGCATCCAAGCCTTTTTGAGGCAGAAGAACCTGACGGAAAGAACGTTCGACACTATTTCCCTTCATCTGCACGACGTGACAGCGAGCCGCCTCGGCAATGCCAGCCGGTTTTCTGCAAACCTGAAGAAGCTGGTTACCTCTCCTACCTACGCGAAAGGCAACTTTCACGCACTTGCAACTGCTCAGGAGAAGCAGCGCGGCCTGCATCCTGACGTGCCATGGAACAGCTCGGTGCTGTCTATCTACCTGGGCCACGACAGCAGCTTTGCCTTAAGCCATTCTGGTCGGGTCCAATGTGTGCTGGAGCTGGAACGCCTCTTTAATGTTCGCTACTTCGATGCCCAGATCGCGTCGTTCGAACATAACATGGGCTACGTTGCTTCAGTACTGCAGGCTTTGCGGCAGTTCCGCCAGCACTGTGCCCAGCACGGGCTAGAGCGAGAAGGCCCGATCCGGATTGACTTCGGCGTGATTGTTCTCGGGGGCCAGCCGAGGGGCGACACCAGGTCGATAGCACAGCTCGTGCGCAGCGAGTTCGAAGTCAGCGAATGGTGCCTAGGTAGCCCATTTAGGCCTTTGTTGGGATAGTTTGATATGTTTCCTTTTTTGGGTGCATAAGAGTCCCTTATCCCTGTTCGGAGGGAGTTTAAGTAGGTGGGCCAAACTACAGGTATTATCTGGACCACCATCATGCGCACGCGCTGCTCGGATTCTACGACTCCCCCTTTGAGGCGGCGCTGGTCATCTCCTACGATGGCGTTGGGAATGACGGCTGCTTCAACGCGTCTTCCCAGGGAATGGAGGGTGAAGTGCTGGGACTGATTGTGGGTCTCAAGGGTATTGTGATGGTTTAGTGGGGGGGGGTTTAGGGGCTTCGGGCCCTCCTGACGAAGGGCTGGGGGGGAAGTGAAGATGTAGGGTCCTCCGATGATTCGTGAGGTGTACTTGGGCCGCGGCAGGGAGCTTGTCCGGGTGGCCCAGCTCGACATCGACGTGGGATGGAGGTGCGTGGGATTGCGAAAAACCCTCAAACATTCAGCCCCAGAGAATACTCCCATTATTTTTTGTTGTTGTGCATAGGGAATAGGAAATTTTGGGGGGAGGGGGGCGGGGGTGTTCATATGAGGAGGAAGGGAGAAGGGCTTGGCTTCTTGGGGTTTAGGATTTTTGGAGTCGCGGCGCAGAGAGCCACAGGAGTACCCTGCTGGGGCAAGAGGAGAGTCTTGCTACCCAAGTAGGCCCTAAACCCTAAACCTACCCCGCAAGGTACAACGTGCTTGGCACTTTGCTTGCAGAAGTCACTGGCCTCACCGAGTCGCACGACTTCATCTGCCAGCGAGCCGGCGCCTCTTCCCACAGCTCTCCTTCAGAGGGTTTTTGTGGGTTTAGGGTTTAGGGTGTACCCTAAACCCCTTAAACCCCTATCCCTAAGCACTGAACCCTTAAACCCCTAAACCTCTAGTTTTGTGGGGAGACGTGGCGCTAAGGGCTCGTTGTCTCTGAGAGTCTGGGGAATTGGGGTGTCAGGGTTGAGCTTTGAGGGCTTGTGGGGTTTTCAAGCGATCCGAGCAAATAGAGCCCCACAACAAGAAGGACCTGGCCTTGAAACCCCGAAACCAAGGCCCTCCATCAGGGTTTAGGGTTACATGGGCTTTGGCTCGAAGCGCTTGACCTAGCCAACAGCCCCCCTCAACCACAAATCCTGCACCGCCCAAACACCCGAGGTTTGAACCCTAGAGCCTAAACCCTAAAGCCTAAATGCCATACCCCAAAACCCGCAACCGGCTGAGGCTTTACCCCTCCATATCCTGAAGGAAGCCCCAAGGAATTCTCGGACGTTGGCGAGTACATCTATGAGGTGGAGCCAGGGCTCTTCGGGCTTAGGGTTTTGGGTCTGCTGACTAACTGAGGAAACCCCTTATTTCAAAAGAACCCTAGGGGACAGAGGGGGAGTATATTGATGGAAGAGTATATTGATGGAAGCCTTTCAAGGTACACCTTGATACAACCTTAAGGGCAGGAGATGTGGTTTTAGCAAAGAAAAACAAGCATGTCATATTTATATATATATATACGGCATATACATATTTGGATGTATAGGATTAATGTTTATCTTTTGTAGGAAAAGGACGCAGTACGCCTTGGGAACTGGACAAGCTATCCGTTCGAGGGTGTCGGGGCCCCCTTGAAAATACAATTTCCCGAAGCAACGTTGACCTACCGGTGCTTCAGGGCGACCCTATACAATCCCCATATGTACCTCTAAAAATGTGTCGTGCCAAAAGTTTCTTGTCCTAAGTTTGGGTTTGGGTATGGCCCTGAGCTCTAGTGGCCCTGACCCTGGCGCAGGCTCAGGTGAACAGAAGCCCGGCCATTCATTTCAGATGTTTGCCTTCCGTTGTAGGAATGTCCAGCTTATGAAGAAAGCCCCTGGGGTAGCAGTGGTGTGCACAACCCCTCCAAGTCACGAAAGCTTCTCACAGAGAAGCCTCTGAGCCCCTTACAGGGTTCAGGGCCCCTGAAAGGCTAAACCCCAAAACGGCCCAAAACGGCCCAAAACCGCCCAGGAAAACTCCTGAGCGTCGCCGGGAAGCTCATGGGCTACGCAGCCACGGGTGGGACTCCGAGAAACCGGGCGCGCCTTGGTACTCTGGTGGGTGGTTTGGGGGGGGTTGGGATTTCAGAGGGTTCGGGGAAGGGGTGGGGGGGTTGTGGGGGAAAAGGGTCGGGCTTTGGCTTTTGACTTTGGGGCTTGTTTTTTATTTCGATTTTTGTTTGGCTTGTGGGCTTTTGCTTTTCTTGTCGGCTTGATTTTTGGGGGGCCTCAGCTTAGGATGACCTGTGGTGCCCTTATTCCTTTTCTGTGGGTCGTTAGGATAGCTTCTTTATACAAGAAAATGCGCCAGCAGATTTTGGGAGTACTGGGGGCACCCTGGCAACGGTTCGGGGACTGAGAGCGCTTGCGACAAACCACCAGGGGCATCGGACCACCCATAAGGTGTCAGCGAATGCTCAGGTGAGGGTTGTTCAAACTTCTCAGCTTCCCTATTGGGATCCCATCAAGAAACGGTGCCCATGGAAGGGGGGCCCTAGCCGAGGGTTTAGGGGTTAGGGTTAGAAAAGCTCCCCCAAGATGTGAGATCAAGACAAACTGCCAACACTTGAAAGGTCTAGCTTCGGTCGCTTCAGGGCATTTGCAAGGTACACTGGGCGCCTTTTTAGGGTCCAGAGCTTTTGCCTTTGAGAGGGTTTTAGCAGGAGCTTAGAAACCACGCTGCAGGGTTTTTCGGGTTACGGACGCAGGCCCTGGGTTTCTGACCCCCCAAAACGATGCAGCAGCCGCTCGGGTCCACTGCGCCTACACATGAAACCCCAAGGTCCCCTGAACTTTCAAGACGCCCTTATTACAACCGGTTAGGATCCCGTATAGCCCCTCCCCCCCCCCCCCAAAAAAAAAAAATCCTGACAGAGTCTGAATCTTCAGGCTCCGCTCACTGGTTCGGCTTTTCCGAAGCTACCATCGACACAGCCTCCGCGCTGCAGCCAGGATTAGCTTAAAGAACCGTAGAAAATGTCGACAAGCCATTGCCTTTTAGTTTGATTTGTTTTATGTTTTGATTTGCGGGGGGGGGGGGGGGCGGGGCCCTTAAGCAAATACTGGCCAAAGAGATGGTTTTGGGGTTGCAGTTTCAGCATGAGGGTTTAGGTTAGGGTCGAGGGAGCTTCAATCTGGACCCTTCTTGCCAGGGGTATGTTATGAAAGGGGGCCGAGATTTCTTGTCGGTTTTGGGGCTGGTTGCCTTAAGGCTTCGGGGGCTTCAGGCTTCTGGGGTAAGCAAGACCAAGTGTTGTCCTACCCCTGTGTTAAACGTGTGTCTGCCACGGCTTTTGTGCATGGCGAAAAACGACACATGAGCTGTAGCTTCGAGGGCTGTTTGGGGCTGCTCTAGAAGGCGCCATCCACCAAACGCGTTCAGCCCGCTATACGGTAGGATCCCTACGTGAAGCTCCCGTCTTGAGACCCATCATTACACGGCGCACTGCACAGCAACCCCTGTAACTCAAATCATCAACCTCCTTAGCCTTTTACCCCTGAGACCACCCAACCCCAAACCCTCACGACTTGAAACCACTCCGAAACCCTTCTGACAATAAACTGAACCCGCAAAAGCCCCAAGCCCCTCAACCCTGAAGCCGATTTAAACCTGAAAAGACTCCCAGGCTTTGAGATGGTTCCCGTGGGGATCCTCCGGGCAGCCTGCGGCCCACTCGAAGAGCCTCTTGGCCAGGAAGCGTTTAGGGCTTGAAGTTTCTAAGGACCTGCCACACGGAAATGCTTGTGTCCATCTTGCGCAAGAGATGGACCAGTCAATTCACGAAAGCTAGCGCAGCGATGCTTTCGTTTCTAGCTCCATTAGGAGTGGGGCCTGGACCAGCGGTTCCCAAGCAAAAAAATTGAACCCCTCCGCCCCCTCTGCTTGCAGTCTTTCTGTATAGTTTTGGCACGCGTGAGTCATGCCGGCAGAACATCTTGAATTTTCCCCTACGCGTGGCTCTCTGTGCCCTACCCACACACGTCCAGTGTTTTGCTGAAGGGCACACGTCGGCATCGCTCTTTGGCAGTGCGTGCAAGGTACCCCCACCAGGTAAGGAACCAGGTCCAGGGGAACCCAGTTGGGCTTCGAGGGCTTTCAGTGGATTATTAACGCGTATTTGGGGCGGGGTGGGATTCAGGGCTTAGGCCTTAGGAAAGGATGGGGCTGAATACCGATTTTTGGAGCGCGTGTCTTGCACGAGCTGCTTTGTTTCTTCGGGGGCCTGAGAACAGCTGTGCCACGTTGCCTCAGCGAAGGTGCTGCTTCGGTTACGTCTTAAAGTATGCGGGCTCCAGATTTTATGGGGGTTTACGAAAATAAGGGACCCCGAATATAGACCCCAAGTAGTAGGATCCCCTTACAATAAGGACCCCAAGAAGGTACCCATAATGCCGTAAACCCCCATAGAGACAGGGATGCACTCCAAGACGAGTTCTTCAGGCAGCGGGAGCTGGCGGCACTCGTCCAGAAGGAGTGCATGGTTTAGTCCGGCCCTTGAGATGTGTTGCAATTATTTCCCCTTTTGGTTTTTAGGAGGGTCATACTCCGGCCTTTGGCATCTTTTGCCCATGCCCGTGCCTTCAGGAGTTCGAGGCCATCGTCCTCAGCACCGTCCGAGACTTGTTCCAAGCGGAGTCCCTGCAGACGCATCTCCAAGGTCTGCAGGCGCGGGCTAGTTGCGTTGATCTCAGGGTTTGTGGCTTTTGGGGTGGCCGGGTTTTGGGATTCATGAACCCCAGCTCTTTTTGGCATTGGGGGTTTGAGGGTTTGAGGGCTCACAGGGGACTTTTTTCGGGTCTAAGTTTTGGGGGGCTCATGGGGCACGTAGGTGCAAGGAGGGTGTCAGGATGTAATATCAACCTGGAAAGGGATTTCTAAACCCCGAACATAGGCGCGAGTTATTTCACGATTACTCTTATGGCTACTAGTACTGATATCACTACTACTATGAACTTGCGAGATAAGAATCGTGATTACTCTTCTCCGCTGAGCACTGTTACTCTTTTGCGTAATGTTGCGATGAGTTGTACCACTTTAACACTACGAGTTGAGAGCCTGTGTGACAGCGCCAGGGCCTGGTCTTCACCGGCGGCTGCGCATTGAAGCTTGGGCGGGCTGTTGAGGGCTTTGAGGGATGTGGGGTTATTTGGGGTTGTTTAGGGCTTAGGGTTTCCGGGCAGGGCTCTATGGAGGCTTTAGGCCTTTAAGTTGGTTCAGAGTAGCTTTCTATGGAGGGGGCCCCTGGGCCCTTCAGAATTGGCCATCTATTTTGCGAAGAACAGCTGAGGAACGTGCTGGCAAATCAGTTGGCTCCTGGGCATGAAGTCACAGCTGGGGATGTCCGTCTAGGATTTAGGATTTAGGGTCCATGCGAGCCCCTGTCTTTTTTTGCACCCCTACTTAAGGAGAGCAAGGTTCTTGCAGGAGCAGTCCTATAGGATCCCTAGATGGAAACCTACGTCCTTAGGGGCTTTCTTCGCAACTTGATCCGAGGCGCACGCTACTAAGTCTGAAAAGGGGAGCTAGGGAATCCCCTTATGATAGGCCTTTATGTATAGGCCTTTAAGGGACCAGAAAGGGAACCCAAGTCCCTAATTCCCTGATTACGTACCAATAAGTCATGTGACGGAGGAAGGAGCCCACAACCTCCCTCAAAATTGAAAAAACAGGCCTTGAAATTTCGAAGGGGCCCTTCAAATCATCTCACGTCTACCCCGAACCCTAAACCCTGTGAGGCATCTTCCTTTTGTTGTGTTCCTCAGCTTGTCGTCTCCAGAATTACTCTGGGCTCTTCGGGTTGAGCTTTAGGGATCGCAAATCCGAACGCTAAAGCCCTTGTTCATTGGGCCCCCGTTGCAGGCGCTTGAGGGTTTTGGGCTTAGAGTTTCATCCTTACACCGAGCAGCCAGAATGGAGCTGACCCCCTAAGTCCTAAACCCAAGCCGGGACTTTCTGGCTTCATCAGAGGGGGTCGGGCAAGGTAGAAACACAGCTTCTTAGTGGTCGAATGAGAAATGCTTAACCTCTGCTTTTAGGGGTTTAGGGGTAAGCCCAATGGCAATTCCATAGACCATCCATGATTTCCCCTAGGCAAACTGCACAAAGAAGTCTTTTGTTGCAACTGTTCACTCCTCGGCGGCAGAATCCTGTGGGATTTGCCGTTTAGGGGTTCAAGGCTTGGGGTCCCGAAAGAACGAAGGTCGCATGAACTCTCCCCGCTAACCCTACAACCCGAAGCCCTAAACCCCCATTCAAAGGCCGAAACCCAAAAACGTAAAACTCTCCCGTGCCCTGAAACCCCAAAACCCCCCCCCCTTCACCCAAAACCCCTAAACCTTAATCCCTAAACCCTAAATCCCTAAACCCTAAATCCCTAAACCCTAAATCCCAAAACCCCGAATCCCTAAACCCTGAATCCCTAAACCCTAGTATGAAATCTCCCCCAGGTCTTCGAGACCTTCGCCCGCCCTCGCGACCTGGGCTTCCACGTGCCTGTGGCGCCCAACGACTCCGGTTTGGCCGTGGCAGGCCACCGGGTTTAGGGTTTAGGGTTTAGGGTTTAGGGTTTAGGGTTTAGGGTTTAGGGGCTTAGGGCTTAGGGCTTAGGGCTTAAGGCCTAGGGATCCAAACGAATCGGGAGAGGGATGCATCTCCTCAGGACGTTTCGGTTTCATTTTTTGTCTAGCTCCGGGAAGCATGAAGCGCATCATTTTTTCTTATTTCTCGCGAGGATACCATTTCTGATCTGGTCCACAGGCTCTTGTACCCAGTGCCCCCACTTAGGGCCCACGCCTCGGGGATACCTGAAAAGTTTAGGGTTCAAACTATCCACACAATCGACGTTTTCCCATTGAAATATCGAGACAATAGTTTGAAGGCTTTCCTATGAAAGTATAGAGAAATGGAAGTTTTCCTGTGAAACAAAACGAAAATAGAAGTTTTCCTATGGGAATATAGAGAACACACCCCCTGCGCACCGCCAAAAAAGGGCCAAAAACAGTGCAAAAACACCGCCGCGGCCGCGGAGCAAAGCAAAAACGCGCCCGAGCCCAGCGGCTACAGAACACACAAAAAGCACCCGACTCGCCAGGCTTTTTTTTGGTTCCATAGCCTTTTGCCATTCCAAATACAGCAACGGCGGAACCCAAAAGCAAAAACGCGCCGAACGCACCAGGCGTTTTTTGTTCCGTAGCTGCGTTGCCATTCCCAATACAGAGCGGCCACGCATCAACAAACGCGACCATGGGCATCGGTCACGGTTATGGAGCAAAAAAAACCCCGGAACAAAAAGACACTCTTACCCTATGTGAATCCCGTCCAAACCCAAACCACCCGCTGTTTTTTTAACCGTGCAAGCTTGCTTCGACAGCATTTGGAAGCCGTGCAAACTTGCTTCACTCACAGTCTTCTACCAATTCTGCACCTTTTGCTTGAGGATTGTGCTTTTGGCTTTCGGTGGTGTTCCGTCTTCGTGTGCTTAGGGCATGCCTTTTGTGAGTCCAGACGTACATCTTTGACATTTGATCGGTGCAGCTCAGACACTCTGGCCGTGTGTGCTAGAGATCAGACTCTCGTATTATTAGAGTAAACAAAAATGCCTCTTTCTTCATCAGCCAATATTATTCTCTTCCGAATACGACTATGACGATTATGCATGAATTATGAGGTCTGTATCATAAAAGATGTTACTATATACTTATTATAGAGTTAAAGCGGGAACTCCTGAAACCCAAGCATCATTCTGCTGCACGCCACTCTCGGTTTAACATTTGCAGCTGCCCTGATCAGAACTATTCCTCCAGGGATTACCAAAATGTCCTTGTCTGTTTGCGTCAGATGGTCTGCTCATCATTTCCAAAGCCCTTGTCCGCACCAGCCTTCACAAGTAGAAGTACGATTTCAGCGAGGCCCTCCTTAGCGGCTAGTTTCAGGGCTGTTTTCCCACTGTGGCCGACCATGTCCTTGTCAGCGTCAGTCTCCATCAGCAAACATAATAGCTTCAACGTGGCCCTGTGTGGAATAATCAGGGCTGCGAAGCCATCTCGAAGGTCGGCCACATTCGTCTTGGCACCGGCCTCCAGCAGTTTTTGTAGGCGGTTTGGATTTTGATGTTCAGCCAAAATGTGTGGGAAGGTCGTTTGGGTGTTGGTTGGCTGTAACGCCTTTTCGTCATGAGTTTGGTACTGCATATCCGCCAGGCGTGCCTGAAGTTTCCTGCAGGTTAATATGCCTTTTTGGGTTTCCTCAAAGACCTCAAGATTTTTGGCCCAGAGAGCTGGACCGAACAAGAGTGACGGTTGAACACCGCATAAAAATCAAGCAGCCCTGGGCCAAACACGAAACCCGTAGTCGTTTGACCAAGATGAAACAATGAAACCCTCATACATTGCGACCTTGACGTCAAATTGTGGGGCACATCTTTCAGCCAAGCTCGGAAGGCCAACACATTGGCTTGGCATATTTGGGGTTGGAGGTGTAACTTGAGGATTTCAGAGATTCTTTGTGGTAGGGATCACAGCCCTGTCGGAGGCAAAGCAATCTCAAGCACCAATTGTGTCAGGAGGCTTCTTCTTTCATTCAGGTTTGAGTAGAATTCTCCAACTACCTTGAACTTGTCTTCACACACGGAGTAGATCTCAGCAGTATTGCTTTCACCCAAAAAACCTTAACGTTGATGCTTGCGCGCTTCACATCCGTATTTTTCTCCTGCTTTTGGGATCTGTGATCCCGCATTCCGAAAATTGAGATGCCCCTATGCGCAGCAACAGGGGAGCTTGGGGGTTGAAGGTGGGTATTTTTGGGGGGGCTTTGGGTGAGTGATTTTTGTTCAGAGGGTTCAGGACCCTAAACCCTGGACCCTAAAAACCCTAAACCCTAAAGCCGACAGGGCACTTTGCACTTTTGCCTTCGACGGCGCGTCAGCAGCTGCAGTACGTCGGTTTCCGCCACCCGGCTCTGGTGCCAGGTTTTTAGGGTTTAAGGTGTAGGGTGTAGGGTTTAGGTTTTAGGGTTGAGGGTTAGTTTTTCTCTTCCCTACCCAGAGAACGCAATGCTCCTTCCGGGAGCAGGTCCTAAATCATATTCGGATCCTTGTTGTTGTAGCTTAAGGCTGTCGTATGCACTTAAAGCCTCAATAGTTCAACAAGCCGCACATGGCCAGCTCTCAGATACACCCGAAGCAGACCTAACCCCTAAACCTTAACCCTGGTGTTCTAAACCGCCTTCGAGTTAGAGTAATGGGTACTCCAAAAAGGGTAGCATTCGAGATCTTACTGATAGTTGCTAGGAAGGGCCACCTTTTGGGGGGGGAGAGAGGTCCAACCGAGACCCCCGATCCTTTTGCCTTGAAAGAGGATATCTTCTTGCTACCCTCTCACAACTAGTCCTGAGCCCCTAAGCCCCGAAGCCCAACCCCAAACAAAAGCTCACAATAGTATACCTTAGGCCTTTGGGACGAGGAGGATCTGGAAGAGCAGGCGCGGTGGACAGAAGCCAAGAGAGTGGCCGTTCATGACCTATCATTTTGCTGGGGTTAGACAAGAGGATAAGAGTAGTAAATATTTCGGCTTTGGGGGTTTGGGCTGCGAAGCCGCTTCTACGAGTTTTTGAAACCGTCTTTGGTATAGCCCAAAAGGCAGCAGCAGGTCTGCTTCACTAGCAAGGCTCCCCTATGACGGAGATCTCCACCTGGTATCAACGGCTCCTGATGCACGGCTCCGTGCCCCTCCTACGTTGATGCGCTGATACCCCAGACACTGAACAATCTACAAGACCGCAGAAGTGCGAGCCTACAGGGAGGCCTTGATCTTGTGGGGGGTGGGAGAGGGGGCCGGCTTCAGGACCCAAGGACCCCTCAAAAGAAATGGATCCATAGCTACAACATCCCCATGTTTGGGTTCAGAATGTACTGCAAGCAATGTGTCCCCAAACCCTAAACTCCTAGACACTAACCCCAAACCTCCCCGCTTCAGGCCGCAAAGTGGGGAGCCACGAAGCTTTCAGCGCTGGGGGGAGCAGCGTGCCTCAAGAGAGGGCTAAAAAAGTTTTGAACTCAGGGTTTTTGTTTATAGGATTTAGGGTTTAGGGTTTTAGGGTTTAGGGTTTAAAGTTCAGGGTTGCTTCCCTATGAACATGTAAGAGGTATGCCGATTTGTATGCGGGATATCGAAGTTTTCACTTAGAATGCTGAAGACATGAATGTTTGCTTTGATATCCTAAAGACCCTAAATCCTTAAGGCTTTGTACCCTAAACGCCTAAGCCCCTGCACCCTAAACCCTATGAAATATACGCAAAAAAGTCCCTGCTAATGCCAAATCCCTTTCCCCTCCATTAAACCCCTGGAAATAGCCCCTATCGTATGATGCCTTTCAAATCCCCCTCCTGTCGCGGGCATATCAGAGGCAACTTCAACTTCCCTTTTTGCAACTATCCGTGCTTATGGGCTTCTTTCTCATTCTAAAAAGCCACATCCAAAATCAGAAACCCGAAACGCTCGAACTCCTAGACCCCTTAGCCACTGAACCCCTAAACCCCCGAACCCTCAACCCTGAGCCCTAACCTTTTAAACCCCTTAGCCCCTAAACAGGTGGAATACCTTGCGGAGCTGCTGGCAGGAGGGCCCGCCTGGCGCACGCAGGCACCGGAGATCCTTGTTTAGGGTTTAGGGTGTAGGGTTTAGGGTTTGGGGTTTATGGTGTAAGTTTTGGGTTGAGGGTGTGGGGCTTAGGGTTTAGGGTGTAGGGTTCTTAGGGTGTAGGTCTTTAGATTCGAATCCCAACTGGGGCCCTTTTTTACAAGTGGCCATCCAAACTCGACGGCTTTGCCAAGTTCATGTCAACAAAACCCCCGAGCCCCTCTGAAGCCCTGAACCCTAAGACCCGAACACCCTAAGACCCTGAAACCTGAAAACCCTAAAACCTTTAAACCTTCAAGACCCTAAACCCTGAAAAACCCTGAGAAGCCCTAAAGCCCTAAACCCGACACCTTAACCCTAAGCCCCGAAAAGCCCTGAAACCCCAAAGCCCTAGAACTCTAAAAACCATAAATCCGCAGCCCCAACACCCTAAACCCTTAACCCTACGCCTTAAACCTTCAAACTTAAACCGTAAACCCCAAAACCCTAAAACTCTACAAACCCTAAAAGAAACCTAAAACCCTAAAAACCCGAAACCCTAAAAACTAAACCTTAAACCCGAAAAACCCTAGAAACCCTAAATCCTAAAACTCGAGGCACCCGACCGGCCCAGCGCCCCGATCGTAGCCGTGGTTCGGGGCCGGCAGGAGCCACTGGGCATCGAAAGCTTCCCCAAAGCCCCCCCGAAAAAGAGTTAGGGCTTAGAGTCGGGTTTAGGGTTCAGGGTTGGGTTTGGGGTTTAGGGTTTAGGGTTTAGGGGGGTTTATCGCGTTATATCCTGAACCTTATACCCGCGCAGCGCCCTGTGAGCCCTGGTTTAGCGTTCATGGAGGAGAACCACAAGCCCCAAAAGCGGGCTGAAACAAGGTGCTTGGGCCTTTCTGACACAACAAGCCCCTACCAGCACCACCTCGAAGTGGGTCTCGCAGCTTGCTGTTCCGAGCCGATGGGCCCCGATACCCCTGAAAGAAAGCATGACTTGGACCCAAAGGCTCCAATGGTTCCTACACTGCAGGAATACTCCTTACATCGTATCTAGAAGACGAAGATGATTTGGGGAACGTTCCTGAAGTAAAGGCTCTTGAGGCCACCGCAGACCCTTACGCTCAAGACCGCTTCCCAAACGTTTTCACTCAAGAAGTCCCCTGGCCCACGACCTTTAGCGAAATGTCGGGCCCTGGTCCCTGGTAGGGGAGTAACAGTGCGCCCCTCAGAGTGTTAAACATCCCGCGTAAAGCTTTCGAGAATGCAGGTTGGAATTCGGACAATGCAGGGTTCTGGGTAGCCCTCACCTCTACCTACGTTCTCTGAGCCCCTACATCTCTAAGTAACAGTCCCCTCCCGGAATACTCAAAGAAAGCCCAAACTCGCACCCGCAATACGTCATAGGTGCACTACGTCCCGATTTGGGGAGCTTGTATAGCAGGCATTGCACCAGGCGCGTCCTCAACCAGAATCCCTAAGCCGCGGGCCTGAAACCCTGACTCCGCAAGCGACGGGGGGCTTCAGGATTCTTAGGGTCTTTTGGGTTTATGGGTTACCTTAAAACTCTCGTTTAGGTCAAGCTCGTTGTTGGCCTCAGGGATTTCACCCTCAACCCTAGACCCTAGACCCTAAACCCTACATAAACCCTAAACCCAAAAACCCTAAACCCGAAACCCGAAACCCTAACCCTAAACCCTAAACCCGGCGGTGGATCCGAGGTTCGGCCCACGGGCTCTGGGCCACCGCTCACTTCTGGCGGTTCCCGATACAGCAGAGCTCAAGGACCACTGATCCCTAGTACATTAGCAATATACTGTATGTTTTTCATAATATAGTACAATGGATATATAGTAGAAAACACTTCTAAATATAGGATATGATTGATACCAGCAAAGTGCATGCTCTACTTCATGCATCCTCCCAGCGCCTAGGTATGTTCTGTAGCCAGGAAAAGGAAGCTCAGTCTGTTATTCCCCAGTAGCTGGAGAGGAAGCCACAGCACGCCAATAAGAACGGTCCTAGCTGCAACACTCAAGGCACCTGTTTAAAAGAACGACGCGTAACATCGGCCATAAACCCAAAAAACCCTAAAAGCTGCTTGTCACAGAGCTCATCTGCCATTTGTTCGGGATCGGAGCTTCGTGATGGTTCTGTTCGGGGAGCCAGGACCGGATGAACCGGCTCAAGCTCCTCGTACATCAGTACATCAGGGTGCAGGCCACGGGATTTTTGCTTTTGATGAGTCCCAGCAGAACATCTCGGCCTCATCCGGGACAGTGGATTGAGGCTCTGAAGCCTCATTTTCTAAAGCCTAGACCCAAAGTCCCCAAGCTGCACAGAAACCGAACCAACACTGAACCTGGACAAGGCTCGTCTCAGCAAAGGTACCTGTAGGGCCCCAAAGCGCCTTCAGTGTTTGCGCGGAAGATGCACGAATTGGAGTGGCGAGCTTCACTGCCCCAACTCCTAAACCCGAAACCCTAAACCCACCTCGAAGGTGCCACGAAAACTCCTGAGGATTTATGCTGCAGGCTCCATATCAAAAGCCATCGCCAAACTCGGGGCTGATCCCTAAAACCCTAGAACCTCAACACTCTGAATATCCAGCCCAGGTTTCGGGAGTGGTATCGGCCAGTGGCACCTATGGTGGCAGATGAGGACGTCTCAAGTAAGTTCGGAAGGTTTGGCCGGGCCACAGGTCGTTGATCGAAAGAGCATTCTGTCTGGATATGTTTGGGCTACAAGGCGTTGACCTGGCACATCTTTAGAAAGGACCCCCCATAAATGGATCACTAGGTAGTGATACAGTAAAAACGCTGTATAAGAAAACTGTTTTTCGGCGATAGGGTACCCTTAGTTTCTTAGTTTCTATGACCCATGTACCCGGGGGGTTTGAGCCTAGGGTAGGCTTGGTTTCTAAACTAATTTCTTAAGGGAGCACGCTATACCACTAGACCAAACCCATGTTCCAGGAATAGTGGTGGGAAGGGTTCCCGAATGTGACTCCCGCGCGTTTTGTGGTAGGGTCAGGCCAGAGGTGCGGGGGAGTCACGTTTTAGAGCTTTTCAGGGCTGAAAACCTCTAGAATGTTACTCCCGCGCGTTTTTGGGGTAGGGTCAGGCCGCAGGCGCGGGGGAGTCACGTTTTAGAGCTTTTCAGGGCTGAAAGCCTCTAGAATGTGACTCCTGCGCGTTTTTGTGGCAGACCCGGGGGGTGTTGCGGGCAGGATTTGTTTTAGAAACTGACCCCAAAACACTAGGGTACCCTAAGTTTCTTGGCTAGAAGGCAACCGCAAATCGACCAACATTCCCGGGTCTAGGGGCTCAATTTCTTATACAGTGGTTTTACTGTACCTCCCCAAAAAGATGTTCGTATGATAATGTAAAACCCAAAATGCAAGGTCCGAAGCAACAGGCCCCTTGTGGCCCCCAAGAGAGGCCATGGCCCTCAGTCCTTCGACCTTCGGGTCTCTCAAGAACGTCATAAGATCTCAGGACTCAGGGTACGCTTAACCCGAAGCCCTAAACCCTTTACTGGCTCAGACAATTGAAGACATGGTGGAGGTCAGGGCTTTGGGAACTTGAGGGTTTGGTCGTTCAGGACCTCGTCACGGTCTTCGGCTACGAGGCGAAGTCTCCGTGCCTCTGCTGCGAAGACTCCCTGAACGGCTTGGGACCGATCTTTTCTTCGGATCATTGACACCCGAAAAGCTTCAGCCCCATACGCCCCGCTGTTATTTACCTAGCTTTGAACCTCTCAAGGCCAACCCAAAGGCCCATGAGAAACCCAAGTCCCAGGGCTCCCCCGCAGTCTCTTTGGGAATCATGGCGTATTCTTGCACCTACTGACTCAGGCCCCTCACCCCTAGAAGTAGGGACAACTTCAAACCCTAAGGAGGGGGAGACTTTGAAGGCTGGGCTTTGAAGCTGAGAGAGGGCGCTCGTTTTGTGGTTTAAGGTACATGTCCATGGCGCCTGCAGTCAAGCCCGACATCCGGAAGCGCTTCCCAGCTCACTGGCCGCATCTGCATGGGGGTATTTTTCCGACCTTGGCACGCTCCAGTATGATACTACTAAGTATATATATATATATATGTTTACATACATGTATGTGTATATATATATATATACATATACATATTAAGTCTTAAACCATGGGGCGCCCCACCCCTATTTTCGAGGTCCAAGGCCAGGAGGGTACGCGAATGCTCGAAATGACTCTACGTTGTACCTGCTTGCTAAGTTCCCCCGACTCCAAGAGCTGCAAAAGGCCTGAAAGAGAAAAGCACCCTCAAAGGCCATGGTCCCAAGAAGTCAAGCCAAGGCCTTGGCCCATTTGGACGGCACGGCCCGTCACCAGTCCGTGGGGAAAGAGGCGCAGGGTTTGTTTGGGGTTTAGGGTTTAGGGCTCAGGGTTTAGGGTTTAGGGTTCAGTTTAGGGTTTAGGGAGCACGAGATTTGAGGGGTGGTGGACTTGGGGATTTTCAATGGGGCCATGCTACCAAATCGAGTTTCAAAAACGCGTACGAGTAGAGTGTGGAGCCGCTGGCTCCCGATGCTGGCCCACGAACTTCTCACTGAAAGGGAGCCACACATAACAATTAAACAGGCTATTTCCAGCTCTCACACCGAGAAGAGGAGTCTGTGCATTCAAGAATGTGAAAGACCACAGCTGCTCGGGAGGTCAGGCTGCGACACAGTGCAGTGCAGTCTCAAACTTCTCTTCTTCACACTGAGTGTCGAGAGTTTTGGAGGTTAGGGGGTTGATTTTCCCCTTTTTACTGCGACCGATTTTTTGAACGGACTCTACGCTGTATTCAAGGTACACGGGATGTACAACCTGTGGCCACTTGCCATAAGGGGATGAACCTCATATGGGGTCGGAGTTGCAGAGCCTTGAGAGCCTAAAGCCCGGAAGCTCCCCAAGAGCCCAAGTCTTTTTGAAACGTAAGAACCCGGAAAACCGGCAACGCTCCAGCACTCAGAACACAGCAGGGGGTGGTTTTATGCGGGGGGCGGGGGGCGGGGGGGGGGGGGCTAGGGGCACTCTGCTCATAAGGGTTCTTTACAAAATAGGCAGAGCAACCGTTTAGGGAATCTACGACGCGAGGACGAACCCTGGGTCCACAGCCTGCTCTTGGCGGCGACTCTGGTGGCATTGCACAATCAATGCAGAAGTCTTAGGACTTTGACTTTATTTCGACAATGTGAGGTCTGAGCGGGTTTAGGGCTTCAGGGTTGAATTTGATGAGAGCACTATGCAAGCCGAAGCCTACCAGAAGTACACTCAACCGCTCTGTAGGCAAGATTGCGTCGATGGCACCTTCTTCGCTGCAGTCTTTTTGCTGAGGGCGTGTCGGGAGCCAAACTAGACAATGGTACCCTATTACCTGTTTTAGTGCAAGGATTTCCTTGTGCATCATCAGCCTAAAAAACCAGCAGCGAAGCTGATTAAGAAAAGATCAGAAACGCCACAAAAAGCCCTGAAGCCCCAAAACAAAGAGTACCTCCAACATACCCTAAAGGTCCTAAACTCTGAACCCGACACCCCCAAAAAAACCTTACAACGGCCTTAAACCCCCGAAAAGAAAGAAGAAGCCCAGGTGAAGAGCTGGACGGGCCTTGCGGCGCTGATCAACACCAGCTGCCCGGTTGCATCCCAAAAGGCCCTTGGAAAGCCTTGGAAATCTGCCCGAAAAAGGGCGTCCTTGTGAAGGACTGCAACAAATGCCATCTATCATCCAGAATCCTACGAAGAAGATCAGCAATAGTAAATCAGGCAATGTCTTGCTATCGTAAGAATATTCGTAAGATTTATAAGAAGGGCACGAAGGGCACATTCGAGGACTTAGGGCCTGTAAGGCTGAGGTGACAAGGCTCAAATGATAGCTTTCAGGAGTTGCGGCATTGAGCTAAGGCCATGAGTTGGAAGAGTTGGGGTGGGAGGCGGGGGAGGCGCAGGAGGACGGCAATGGCCGGACACACACCTAGTCATGCACAACCGTGGTGAGAAAACCACGCACATTTGCCGAGGTTGGCCTTTCCTAACCACCCGTAATCGTCGGACTTGAAGCTGAGACAGCCAGTCGGCGAAGAGAAGGGCGTGGGGCATGTCGAGGAGACGGGAAGCAGAACAACCAGCTATTGCCGGCTAACCCTAGACCTTAAACCCCGAATCTTGAACCCTAAGCCCGAAACCTGAACCCCATAGTTCCATAGTTGATTGGAATTTCAAGGAGCTTTCGGTGCTCAGCAAGCCGAGGCTTCAACTCTCGGGGGCATCCCATCGTGCACCGCGGCTTCGGATTCGGCTACCTTTTCTTGGCAGAAGTTAGGGTTCTAGAACTTACGGCTTCTTCGCGGAAGCCCAAGGGAAGTTCAGGGTTTTAGAGTTTTAGAATTTAAGGCTTAGGGTTTATTTCAAGAGGTCCTGGTCCATGACCCGCCAGGGCTTTGAAGTTAATTCTGGAAAGGAGGCATGGGAGCGACCTGCATCTTGACCCTTAAAAAGTTTGGGCTTTCGTCTTGGACTTGTTGAAAAGGCAGCAAGCAAGGCGTTCTGATACGCTCAAGATTTTCAGGAAGCGCCGTCATGGAATTGTTTGTGTTGATGCTTTCAGGGCCTACGTTTTGAAGTGTTGCACTAGGTTGCATGGTGGGCAACAGCTCAGGAACACAATTCGCGACTGCTTGAAGATGCTTCGGGAACTGCCAGACCTGGATTACGTGCTGATTGAGGACTGGCTTTTCCGCAAGCCGCAAGAGGACACCAAAAAGGACACTAAAAAATGATCCGTGATCCTTGCATGTTCTGTGATCTACTTCAGGTCAATCGCTTTACCTCTCCTAATCATCTGACATCGGAGCTTGCCTTAGAAGACCCTTGCCTTCGGAAGCCTCATTATGTCGCGGCCGGAAGATGCGTCTCAAGTAGCCTCCACCGTTCAAAAGGTTCGAGCACTGCCCTTCCGCTGCAGCTCTAGACTTTAAAACCCTAAGTCCTGGAGGGTGAATCCCTCAAAGCCAGAGAGCCATGGCCTCGACCGAACCCTTTTTGGAGGTGCCTAGGAACGCATCTGTGGGGTTGGGGGCTGAGGGCTTTGCCGTTGTTTTTTTAATCGGGGTCTACCGTCAAAAAGCATACCTTCGGTACAGCCATGCCTGCCGTGGTCCCTTGCAAGACCTGAAGAGAAATCCCATTCAAAGCCCTGAACTGCATGGAAGGTGCGGCCGGCCGGGCCTGGCAGTGCACCAGCAACAACAGCGCCTCGTTTAGGATTCAGGAGAATGTGACACGTAAGTCTCCAAGACGTGTGGTCCCCCAACCCACGCGAATACTTGTTGCTTTGCGCATATGGTTTCGCTATGCCCAACTTCGACCCTTTGGCGCTTCACCCCAAAGAGACCCGTTGCCCCACGGCTCAAGAAGAAGCTCTGATTCCAAAAGTATTCGAAAGGGCTTAGAAACGTGTAGCTTCTCCACAAAATGCCATGAGTCAGAACAAGCAAGTACTCTACACATCCCCGAAATACCACACGGGAGCGCCGCAGAATCTAAAAACCTTTCCAAATCACAACAACAGCAGCAGGAGTAGCATGAGTAGAAGTAGGGCTAAAAGTAGAGCACTTTGGGAGGGTACGCTTTCTAGTGAAGCATTGAGGCTGTGCTGCGCTGCCTTGGACAAGAAGGAGCTTTGGAGCCACGACTAAGCCCAGGTTGGGAAAAAGTAAGTGCAGAAAGGAATGTAATGTGTCAGAACCGGCTTCTCATGAACAGAACAGATATTGATATTCAATCGTGGACTTTTGTCATGATACTCTCAGACAGTATCTGTCAGAAGTCCTGACAGGGGCCGACTGACAAGGTAGATGTGGGGCATTTTTTGAGATTCGAACTCAAGCATCGATTCTCTCTCCTGTTTATTTTTTTCTCTATCATTCTCCTTCTGAGGTATCAATACTTAGAAATTATGATTATGATGGGGCTTGTGAATCTAGATAATTCATCTACATAAGCAAAAATAGTTTGAAATATTAAAATATATTTACGTACACTAAACAGTCAGAGGTTATGTAAAAATATAAGAGGATTTTGAGGCCAGGCACCAATCTATTGGCGACCGAAGAATTCTAAAGAATTTTTTTCATCGAGAATATTTCAAAAAATATGTTTCGATACAATATATATTTGTCTTCTAAAAGTCGGAGGTGTTGTTG